ACAGATTAAGAAGGAACCACTTTTTAATTTGGCCTGAATTTATACACAGGCTTAAGTAAGATTTTTAAAGGGATGTTTTGTCACAGTTGTAATTTAGATGAGGCTCAGATAGATTCCTGCCCATTCTCTCACTGCCTCAGCTGCTTCCAGACACTTTTCCTGACCTCTGTGGCAGTTTGTTTCCAGTCCTGCTGCATCTCTTGTAGCTTTCTCTTCTCTTTTCTAGTTCAAATACTGAGTTTCCTTCACTGCCTGAAACTCTTTGCACGTGCCTTGTTTACCTTAAAGTAGTATAGTCTTTTTAATAGGACAATGAGAGATTTAAGAGCCAAATTAAGGCCAAATGGAAGTCAGTGAGAAAGTATTTGTGCTCATTGGAGTGGGAACAGGTTGTTGTCTTAAAGTGTTAGTAAGATGCGTGTCCCATTCTAAGAAGTGGTTCTCTTGCAGTCGTGGATGGTAGTGGATTACCACCCTAAGCAACAGGACACACTTAACTTATCTTAATAGAAACCCCACTGAAATCTGATGGCCCTGATAAGCACAAGCAAGCCTCCAATGTGTCTGAAACCAGAGGCACAGGAATTGACACGGATGGGGGGCCAGCCTGAAGCTTACTCCTCTCATCTGTTGACCGATGAATCCCAAGGAGGAAAAGAATTTTCCTGTGCTTCACTTCCAGATCGGTGAAAGGTTCTTATTGCCTAACCTTTCAGAACCTCTTTTTCCTAAGGAAACCTCTGGCATTCCACATGACTAAAAGTAGGCATCTCATTTAGAGTAACTGTTTGCCTGCTGAGAGCTTTTATTACGCTTCATTGTGCTCCTTCACTAGACAGAGTTGTGCTTTGTGAAGGGCCTGGCTTGCGTATGGGAGAACGCAGCAGATTCAAATTGCAGGATATTGAATACAGCACTTACTGTCCCTGCTTTGCGATAGACATTTTGCCTGGCTGGGAACTGGTAGCACAGAGACAAACAAGAGAAGCTGACAGATTGGTGAATGCTGGGTGGGATCATTTGTCAGGAGACGTGATGAATCACTGTGGTGCAGCATTTCATTTTCAGAAAGATAATTTTCTGAAAAACTCAAATTGAAGGCGGAAGAGACAGCTGGGGGTGTTTTGTGATTTTTCATTTAAATCAAATATGCAATTTGAATAAAGGCATATTGAAAAGTTCCTGCTATTCTAAAAATATTTTGAGGAAGAAACAAAATCGAGGTTAGCAGGAAACAGAATGACCTGGAGGAGCATTTGCCAGCTATGCTCCACAAATAGGTGCTCTGACCCTCTCTGGTCAAAGCCCGTAGGAATCATATGTCTAGACCTTCAAGCAGTACTTCAATTAGGGGAAAAAATATCCATCTTATAACCTTGTACACAGGTCATCCAAGCAGAGGTCGATGTGCTTTTAATAGGGCTGCACGTAGACACTGAACTCCTCGCAGCCTGAGTAGGAGAAGTGGTCATGTTTAATATCGTCTGTGCTCTTAGAAGTCCAAGGCTACTTTTGCATCAAGACTGATTATTCATGCAAGATAACACATCAATAAAAAAGGCTGTATGTAACTGGCTAGAAACAGGGGAGACGCAGACAGTGAGGGACTTCATGCTGGTGAAGAGAGAGACTAAAGGCCGATGTCTGCTTTCCCCTGTCTCATGGTGCCAAAGGGCTACAGGCTCAGTCGTGCTGCACAAGGTTATTTGGAGGAGATGATGAAAACCTTTCTGACCCTCGCGTAAATGAACAGGAGAGCATGAATGCTTTAAGGAGTAACTCTGTGAAAAAGACATTTTAAAACAGCTGCTTTTCAGAGAATAGCACGTGCATTTACAGCACACTTGGTTAGAAGATCAGTTAGAAACTTTAATAAAGGAGAAATATCTAAACCCCTACATTTAGAATCACTTAAATAAACATAAAACTCTGTGTGTGTGTATATGTATAAAACTCTGTGATATTTCCAGATACCTTCCCATGTCAGTAGACATGAAATACAAAAGTAAAGAAATCTGGAGATACTGTTTCATATTTGCAACCCACATAGAGATGAAAGAGATCCCACATGGTGTGGGATTATAAAAAGCTTATATTCTCTTCCAAGCAAGATTCAAGCAGTCGCTTTCTTTTTAAACCAACAAATAGTAATGGGTCATACAATGTGCATGACTTGATGTTGAGGGACTTGATGTTGAAGCTTTTTGAAATAGCAGTGAAAGAACTGGTCACGTGGTACCTGATTTCTGGAGTAATGCTCTGCTGTTTATTCAGTTTGTGAAATAGGGAAATCTGTTGCCAGTTGTGCTCCCAGTATAAAGGTCTCGCACTCTTTGTGCAACAAAAAGTGGTTAATTTTATAGGGAAGAGAGGACTTGCTTTCATTTTGCGTCAGCAGGTTGCTTGCTAGTCCATCTTCTGCAGGTAAAAGGAAGAGCAGGAATGCTTGGTGAGGCAATTTCTTGAGACCATCTGTACTAACAAAAGGTTGCTGCTGATCTTGAAGTGCTTTATAAATGTTGATCGTAAGTTATTAAATTATTATTTTTATTATTATTGATCTAAAACAGGAAATTAAGATTGCATTAACAAGGGCAGACTGTGAGCCTTGGTAAAAAGGATTATCATGCTGAGCCACTGCATTGGTTTGCAAAGCAAAATTTGAGAGAGGAAATGCAAACTTCACAATTTGCATCCTTTTAGTAGCATGGCATTTGCCCTTTGGATAAGCATCACTGTTTCATTTGACCTTATCTCTTTTGTTCCAGATTAGTGGTGATATAAACTGTAGATTGATGCGTAACTCTCTCACTTTACAGGGCGTATTTTCTCAGATGGGATGAAATAATGTTTCACACAGACCTTTCTCTTTCATCTTCAAGGCAACAGATCTAGATTTCTGTTTCCACCTGCCCTCAGCTATGCTGTTCCTCTTCACCTCTGTCCCTTTCTGAGTAAGAATTAGTTTTTCAGCAATTAATTTACCTCACCACCTCTGTAGGACACTAACTAAATTTCAGAGTCTCTCTCAGACTAACAACCATTCCCTTCCATCCTAATTGATGGCTCTGCTCAAGACCGCAGCAGGCCCAGTTGAGACATGGGAAGCTGAGGGTGTGAAGAGCTGAAAACTAGTTCAGTCTAATTCTTAAATGAATGCTAGGAATGCCCCATAATATAAATTTTTCATTTATTGCCTGTAATTTTCCCAACTAATTCAAAATTTAATGATAGCTTTCAGCTTTGGTTTTCTCTTCTAATTAACGTAGCAGTGACTGTGTATAATCTCTGCGTAAAGTCAAAAGCAGCTTACATGATAATTACAGTGGGAGCACAGCACCTGCTGTTCAAGATAGTCATCCACAAGAAAGTGCTTGCATGACAGTTAAGGTGTTCGGGTTAAGTTATACATCTTTCTTGTGCTGTCCCAAAGCTATTTTGTTAGTCTCAGCCCAATGGTGGTAAACTTGGGAGAAGGAAACAGAGGAACTGGAGAGACCAAGCACAACCTCTGCACATACACCAAGGATTTCTTGGACATGCTGAACTTTTGAGGTCATAGTTTCTCATGGGGTCATATTGTTTAGTAACTTTATATTTACCCCATAGTAATTATGATGTAGTGGGTTGAAAATTCTTCTTTCACACTGTGGAAGATACTTTGCATCCAGGGTTTTGTTGTGTTTTTTTTTCCAGGAGCAAATGAAAACACTTATGACTGAATAAAGCAGAAGAAAAATCCAAGTGTATGGTAGAAGGAGAATAGCTTTGTTCTCTCTGTTAACTCAAAATAAGCATTGGTTGTTTCATTTTAGACCCTCCTCAGCTGGACTGACTAATGTCAGAGTCACTAGACAATACACCGTGTCTGTCTGTTGTCCAGTAGGGAAGAGCAACTCGTGAATTTAATTTTGGTTTTCTTTTCAACTGCTGCAGCAGAAAGATCTCAGAGTGACACTGTATTTTGCAGTCAGATTTATAGCAGATTGATGGAGAAGAAAACGGGGTTGGTCTTCTCACCTTTCTTGCTATACCTCTGATGTCGACCACTAACATTGACAGGCACCCCAGGAAGGGGGCATGTACCAACCTATTTGAGCAGCACTATTCAGTGCTTTCAATTTACAAAAGAAAAACTGTGAATATCCATTCATTATTTACTTCCTTTTTTGTGTTTGCTTGATTGTGTAGAAATGTGTGTGTATGGGACTGGGAGGAGGCACTTGTAGTCATTTCGGATACTGGCTGGTGGTGAGCAGTGGATCCAACAACAGCCTGCTTTACCAGCAGATACTCTCAACAAAAAAGTGCCGTCTTCAACGGCAAAAGCCTCTAAAGCACAACTTTGTACTTTCATTAAATCAACAAAAATGCGTTTATTTAAGAGCAGCTCCATTTAGTAATTAGATTCTTAAATGCTGTCTGTCCTGAATTTTGGGTAGCTCATTTCTTGCTGCTTCAATATAACTTCAATCCTGCTGTAAGAAGTGGGGTGTCCTGGCCGAGACAGTGAACACAATTCAGAGCATCGGTACAATGGTAATGCCGCTGTTGATCTCCCAGGAAGCGTATGGAAGATGCTGAGGGAGACTTGGTCACAATTAAAAGATACTAAGATAAAAGGAAATGCTACTGTAGATAGATGAATGTTTTCATCTGTAGGCCTCATTTGCAAAAAATGAATGATTAAACGGAATCCAATCTCTCTATAGTACTTTGGTGGTTAGTGAGAAGGGAAAAGATGTTTTGGACATCTGTGATGGAAAACATGAACATTAACTCAGAAGAGGAACTCCTCGTGTTCTTTACAAAATGCAGATACTTGTCATAGATACCAGCTCTACTAGAGAAAGGCTTTGGGAAATGTCAGTTAACTTTTTATTCATTTCAATATAGGACTGTTGTTCAACATCACATCACAACCCTGCTGTGTGCACTTCGATTTTGAAATGTTGTACTAAGCAAATTTTGAGGTTTTTGTCTTTTGTTGTTGATTTTAGATTGACAAATACGCTCAGCAGGATCTGAAGAAAGGGCTTCATTTGTATGGGACAGAAGGAAATATTGGCCTAACTAACGCATGGAGCATCATTCAAACAGATGTAAGTCTGAGCTTTTTTTTCCTTCCTCTTTACCCTCTAAGCTCTATAACAGCATGTCCTGGGTGTGAACCTAATTAAACCTCCAGATCCCAAGCCAATCTCTTCCTCCCACCCAGTTAGCACATTAGCAACTAAACTCTCTTTGCAACAAAAGGTGTTTTCTCCTTAGACCAGGATAGCTTATCTCTTTTAAAAAATTATCATGTATTGACACCTAACTATCACGTAGTGCTGTGTTGTGTGGAGAGTGGAGATGGTCAGACAGGAAACAAGCAGTACCTTCTCTTTAAAGTCAAAGGGACAGCTTATGTTGGAATGAAGAACAATAGTGTAATAACAAAGAACCGCTTCAACACCTTTTCAGTCCTGAACTGTCTCTTTTGTTGCCATTGTTGTTTTCCACTAGTGTAGTCAAAATGGAAGCCGGCCATGGTGTTTACAACATCCTCTTACAGTTTTTCCCAGCAGAATTCAATCATCATCCATCACGGATGGGCTTAGGGTGCTTTTTGCTGTGGTGCCGCCGCTGTTTCATCCTTCTGATTCTCTGACAGTACTCTGCCAGTGTTTTCTCATAAGGGACTGGTGAACACTGTGGCTGGCTTCCTCCATTTGTCCTTGTCTGACTTTCTGAGGAAACACAGTCACGGACAGTTCAGGTTTATTAGCTCTGTCCTTCTCTTTCCATATTCAGTTCATTCAGTTCTTTTGGGAGTGATCTTTCTGATATGATTTTCGCTGCTTCTTGAATGAGGAAAAGTGCTCCAGCTTTTCTTCTGCTTTAGAAAGAAGGAATTACACTACCTTGGCTACACTCAAAAGTCATGTGTAGCTTTCTCAGATTCTCCTCCAGAGGTGCTAGTGTGGTACAAACAGGCAGGGCTTTAAAAGTCTTGCCTCAGCCAAAAATGTCTTAAATCGACCAAAGATGATAACCTCTCCCAGTGCTTCCAAGATTATATGAACTATTCGAGATGATCGATGGGTACCTACCACGTTCTGATACGATAAACCTGCGTATTTACCCTTTACTTCCTCTTTTGCCATTTGGGCTGAAACCACAAACATCTTTCAGTCTGGCAGTGTCAGGATTCACATATACTCTTCTGTACCATACAAGATAATAGGAGTGGCAGGCTGCTAAAAAAAGGTCTGAGAAATTAAAAATTTAGGGTCACTAAAAGAACCAAAGAACTAGTTGGCCAAATTCCATGTGCATCTTTGGGGCTGCAGGAGCAGCCTGTATTGAGAGGAGAAGGTTGGCAGTGACAGCACTGTGTCTGAAAGACAAACAGCTCAGGTCCAGCAAACAAGCTAATGGGCTTTCTGGTCCTGTGGAAGGTGGAAGGTTCTTTCGGTTACCTTCAAAAGGCCTCTGCATCTTGCAATATTGTTAATATTTTTCTGTTCCAATACTAGGATTAAATATGAGAAGGCATCAATTGCTGACAAGAGAAATGCGTTTTGTGGTGTTTTGTGGTGTTTGGGTGTAGCCCAAGATTAAGCCACGTGAAATACAGATAAAAGTTTTAATATAATTGCTTGTATCTAACCGTATTAGAAATGTTACACTTTTATGCTAACTTAGCTCTGATTGGTAAAAATGTAGTAAAAATTACTAATATTAAGATGTTCGCAGTAAATATTAATCTGGCTTCAGTGACACCTGAAGAACTGTTCAAAGCAGATAGCAAAGGTGGGGGGAAAAGCATTATTTGGGAGTCTTACAGGATATTAATCCCATGCTTCCGTTCTCCTTTCTGTAAAATAGGTGTTTTGAGGGTTTTGAAAGGAAAGGGCTCTGTAATTGATCCAGGAGCTAAAAGCCAAGATGCAGATATCTGATGGTAGGATGCCATTGTACAGCAGGATGGTGGATTCTTTTTCTCTAAACTCAAGACACAGGGTTTTGTGTGAAAGAAAAGGTCTTGTTCAGTGACAGGCTTGGGTTTGAGGTAGGACTGGATAGTCTGTGGTCTGTGTAGTGCTGCAGATCATGCTTGATTGTCTTAATAGTTCCTTTGGCTTTGAAACCTATTACAGTTTAAAGAGCATTTTATAAGTTTCTGATGAAACTAATGCTAGGTCTTAGCAGCCCAAAAGATAATAGTAAAGTGCTATCTTGCAAGCCACGTACAGTCATGTTACATCACTCTCTTTTCTAACATGGCAACTATGAAATTACCATGTGCTGCCTTGACAGTACCACAGTGTTAAAGTCCCCATGCTCCCCGTGCTGGGCACTGAGGAGAACAGCAAAGAGCTCCCACAGATCCATTTTTACTGCTCTGCATAATTGGTTTTCACATGTATCTTTCAAAACTATTTAGGAGCAGTGAAGGCAATCCCAGCATGGTTAATTATGTAAAACACTTTGCAGTTGAATAGCGTTATGTAAATGCCAAGTATTATTTTTTGTGTTCAGTAATAATTGTTATCCCTTACATTGCCAATCAGTAGAGTGTAATCACTGATAGGAGGATTAGAGCAATACAGGGAACTTTTTGAAAGGAAAGTCCTAGCCCAGGCTTGCTGTTTGCATTTTGGCTCCTAAAGAGAGCTCTCAAACCCCTCACATTAGAAGGTTACCACGTTGCAATTACTGGACAATGTCTCAGCGCTGACTTTTCTAATGAGTCCAGTAGACATCAGTCATTGACTGAACTACGGGCTATATATGTACATGGATGGAAAACAGCAGCCTCAGAAGAAAGCATGACATAAGAAAAACATGACAGCAGCAGAAATCATGATGAGTCCTTCTCCCTTGTCCTCTCTGCATCCACACTCCTTTCTTTCCAAAAGTACTTTTCAGAGCTTGAGCAGAAAGATGGCACCGTGGTTAAAGTAGTAGGCTCAGACATGAGGGATCTAAGCTCTGGTGCAGTTCTTCATTTCTCCTACGAATAGCCTAGATAGAGACCATCCCCAGCCTGAGTTCACTAAGTACAACTGTGTATGGCAACTTTTGCTCAAAGAAGGGGAAAAAAGTTTTTCCAGAAACTGGCATTTCAGAGGGGAATTTTGACTGGGAGTATGGAGACCCAGTGTGCACACAGTGACTTGTGAGTGGTGATTTCTGAATTTCTTCTTTAAGTGTGAAAGACCTGAGCACCTTTTTCAGGGGGCTTTCTTCTCTGAAGCCTTTGTGCCTTGGGAAGTGTTTTTCCTCTTTTTAACAGAAGCACACAGTTCCTATATAACTGGGAACAAGGATAAAACGGAGTCCATCAGGCCCATCTTTAGTAGTTTGGTAGTTTTGGTCCATAACTGATCTGTTCAGGTTACTGCTAAAGGAGTTGGGTTGAGCTGTGTACATGCAACACACGTTAGAGGAAAAGCACTAGAGCCATTTTGCAGTCACATTAAGCCTCTAGGTCAGGGAGCTGTTTCAAATTAGAACATTTTATTGATTCCTTTTTAATACCTTCAGCTAAGCAAACTCACAGCCCATCTCAATAGTGTTTCAAACCTTAAGAGGATCAGAAACACAATCAGGTGACTTTTGCCTGTCGTGACTGAAGACGACGAAAGCGTACAAAGTGATTTTAAACATGACTAAAATCCTAATAGTTTAGGATGTGAGTTACCCTGAATTGCGTTAGACTCCTTACCAGCCAGGACTGGATAAAGTTACAGGTGGAAATCATTAGGAAATGAGAAATAGGCATTAATTTTTAAAATGTTGCTTCATCCCCAACATCTTTGTGATCAATATTTGAATGCTTCTGCTTTAAACTAAGCAGGCAGTAATTCGAGAGGCATGCAGAAAGCACATTAGCTTCACTAAAGCGAGCAAATTCAGCCCACTTTTACTGCTGTGTAAGGTCTTTCATGTCTATTTAAACCACTGTAACTGAGAACAAGATTTGACCCCTTTCTCTCTCCCTCAGTCATTGATTCTGTTAGATCAAACCATACTTTGGGATTATTGCTGAAGTAATCCAAACCACCCATTAAACATGATTTTAAAATAAAATTTTCTTATTCACCACATTTTACAGTGATTGAGGAAAAAGGCATATAAACCACAACCGTGCCCTGTCCTTAGTTCTCTGTCACATTCACAAAATTGGAAAACCAGGAATTCCTAAAACCTGTCTGCAACAAGGATTGGGTGTCTGTTTATTTTCATGAACCCTATTCCAGCCTGACTGATTTGGCAGGAATTCGGCAAAGAAAACAAGGCCTCCTTAGCCTTCAATACCAGGATTGTCTGTAAAATACATACAAGAATCCAACTCCTTACATTTCTATTGTACTAAGATAGAAACTTTGTGTTTAGCATTAATTACCAGCTCTAGATACTCCATGCTGGAGCAGCAATTACCTGATAACACAAAAGCAAAGCTCTCTGCCAGCAGCGTTGTGTTCCATAAATGGAGCCCAGAGCCTCAGGGCTGCTCGGTGCCGCAGCACAGCCTTTGACTGTGTCCTTGTGTTGAGCCCCTGTGTGTCCTGAGCTCTTGGAAAATGGAGCCCAGAGCCTCAGGGCTGCTCGGCGCCGCAGCACAGCCTTTGACTGTGTCCTTCTGTTGAGGGGCCCCTGTGTGTCCTGAGCTCTTGGGGACTGAGGAGCTGCTTCAGAAGCCCACGGGTAATCAATAGGGGAGTGATTTATGTCTCTTTAACAAGGGAGGGAAAAAATGTGTTTTGACATCTCCAGAGACTGAGCCTCCCACGAGAAACATGTGAAACAAACAGCAGCGTAGCGTCACTATTCCTGGAAACGTTTAGCAGCAGGAGCTTAGATCCTCAGAGGCATTTGACAAGGTTTTGCTTGTTTGAGCAACTCTGCCAAACACTGTACAAGTGTCCCCAGAACTACTGCCCAACTGTCACCTTATGCCATTTGTGCGTGTGGGCAGGCACAATTGCATCTAATCTTGCTGCTCCTTCACAGCTGCAAGCTGGGATCAAGTGACTTCAGGTGTCCAAGTCACAGTGTCTTAAAGTTACTGCTACTCAAGACAGTAGCTGACATTTTCTACAGGTTACCCCCTTTTAAAGTGTGTTAGTCTGGGTACCCTAAAATGAGCACTATTAGTTTGTAATTATTTCTAAAAAACATAACTGCATTGTTCCCTGTTGAAACTAGGAACAGAACTAATCAATTAAGCAACCTTGTCTAATTTTATCACTTAACTAGTGAAGGGAGCAACACAGGACTGTAAATGTGACCACAAAATGAATGTGGCTGTAGCAAGAATCAAGTCTGCAATTGCTTCATGACAGTTTCACTTTCTGGTATTGGCAGAACATCAGCCTTTGTGGAAAAATATGAAGTCTATAACAAACTGCTGGTGACAGAAATTATCCTTCATGGGACCTGAGCTTTCTCCATTCTCCAAGTGCAGGACTGTTTCCAACTATCCTTGCTCAGAAACCTTGTAAATTTTAAAAAGAGAGCATTGCTTTCAAATCTAAGAGGACTCTAAAAAAAAAATCCTCTTACTATGCTCTTACTATGTCCTCAATATTTCCCTTTCTTCTAATAGTGCCTCATCTCCCTCAACAGTTTGGCGACCTACCTACCGTTCAGCTTCATGCACACAGGACAAATCAGTTGCTTGTCACATGATCCAAAATCACTCCCACACTCTCTCTTCTTCACTTGGGCCTCCATAATGAGGTCTCTGAATTTACTGAGCTCTCAGTTTATGTGTCTTTTAGACTTCTAGCTGGACTTCTTCGCTGAATCTGTCCTGGTGACCCATTCAATCCCACTGCTGTTTGTTTCCTCATTCTTGTCTCTGACCTACTGCCGTGGGTCAGTGCCTCTGCTCCCTAGAGATGCCATTCGCCTCACTTGGTCTTCACTGAACAGTTTGCTTGTGCTCTCTCTGGTCTCGGTGATGGCAGTTCTCTTCTTTAGGATTGTGCATCATCTGCTGCTTAATTCCATTGCTCGTCCTTCCTTTGTCTTCCAAAGACTTGACATCTCTTACAGTTCCAGACATTATTTCTCCCAGTCCCAATGCTCACACTATTTCATTCTTTTTCACCCTTGATCTTTCTTAGGCCTTTCTCCCACTGCTGGGACCGCCTTGTCTGCCAGCACTGATAGGCAAGCACGAATATTTGATCCTCTGCTCTTGTACAATACAGAGGGGACCTGTGTGGGCAGGCAGTGTGTGTCCGACTGCAGCTGGTCTTTGCAACTGCGTCCCCTCCTATTTCCACCTTCTGCCTTATCAGGAAGTTTTACTCTTTGGATCCCAACCCTAGCTCATGCCTAGGCACCTTCTGCTTCCCTGGCTCCATAGGAACAGCTGTCCTTAGCACTGTTAGTGAACTCTTAACTGCAAAACCTGTACTTCGTCTTTGTCTCCTTAGTCTGTCAGACTTTGACACCCTCAGCCACGCAGTGTTATGGGGAGAAGGGGCCTAGTCCTGATTTATGCAAACTCTTGTCACTTGTCTTTGGCCAGAACATCACTCAAATGTCTCAGCCCTTCCTGTTGCACTCTCTACATCACAGATGAGCTGCGTTTTCAAGGCTTGCTATTTACAAGCTGTCACTTCTCACTGTCTATCAAAGAACTGCCTCCTGACTCTAATGATGACAGCCTGCAAGACCTTCCTGTTAGATTTCCAGATAAACCACCCTTCCTCAAATGCATGCCATGTGCTCCGTGCTGCTCCTATCCGCTTTTGGGACCTGTTATACACGGAGCTCCCGTCTTGTGTGCAGGAACATAGAGGTAAAAAAAGAAAGTCACAAACTTTTTTTTACTTTTAAGTTAGTTTGTAGAAAATGAAGCCCATAAACTCACCAGCCAAACAGTTGCAAGCCACGGATTGATTCCTGCCACGGACCAAATCAGATTTCTGAGCAGAATCATGGGGGGGGGGGGGGGGGGGGCAAGACCTTCCTGTTAGATTTCCAGATAAACCACCCTTCCTCAAATGCATGCCATGTGCTCCGTGCTGCTCCTATCCGCTTTTGGGACCTGTTATACACGGAGCTCCCGTCTTGTGTGCAGGAACATAGAGGTAAAAAAAGAAAGTCACAAACTTTTTTTTACTTTTAAGTTAGTTTGTAGAAAATGAAGCCCATAAACTCACCAGCCAAACAGTTGCAAGCCACGGATTGATTCCTGCCACGGACCAAATCAGATTTCTGAGCAGGGGGGGGGGGGGGGGGGGTAGATGTTAGTCTGGGAAAGATTTCTGACTTTTGCTTGGCAGAAGAAAAAGAGTGTTGAGAGCACTGAAATGTCTCTATCGAGGACTACTTTCTTGCGAGAGCTTGAAGCACATGGGATGTGTGAGGTACAGTGTTACACCTCTGCCCTCTGTTGGTCTGGAACAGCAGATCTCGGGTGTGCAACAAGACCTGAACCCTCTGTGCCCACAGACCCTACAACTATTACATATATATATAGGGAAAACTCTCCCATAAATATCAGGATCTGAGATCCTTGGTCCTGGTGAGGCAAACAAACATCTGCGTGGTTATGAGTCTGTCAGACACAAAAGGAATGGTCTCTGTAGAGATGCAAAAAATACCACACAGGCTTATATAAAACCACATTTAAAAAATAAGAACTTGGCGAGTCAGTTCAGGGCTAAGTAGGTGGCTGGCACAGCCTTCAGCAAGTGCGAAGCGCTGCCAATAGCAGAGAGCAGTTCTGCAGCCCAATGTCGTCTTGTTTTACTCATTAGTGGTAAAGTGTTCTAAATACCGACAAATTCATACTTTTGAGTTAGCAGAGGAGTGACAGATGGTGTATACATCTATATGGTAATGAGTCTTAGCTTATTTTGTATCACAGGAAGACACTATTTCCCAGAGGGGGAAGGTGGTCGCAGAGCCAGTCCCTGTACCGCTACAGACATTCCCTGTACCTTCCATCCCACCACCAGAGTCAAACAAACTTTCTGATTTGGCACTAACACAGTCACTGTGCACCGTGTCCTGTGCAGACACTTAAAGCACCACTGTTTGGCAGCATCGGATGATGACATTAAGGAACTGCACCAAAGAGAGAAGAGGAGGAAATACATCTTTTATTGACTGACAAAGACTTTCAGAGGTGATCTGTAATTAACAGCTTAGAGAGAAATTCGCCTCGTTAACTTCAATCATGATTTCAGCAGTGTGCTGTAGAGATCCCAGTATCTTTGTCTCCTGGGTGCTGTATCTGTATCTTAAATAATTTTTTCCTGACAACAAGCTGCAAACGATTATAATCCTGCTCAGTCACTCATCAACTCAACCTCAGGACTTGACTGCTGTTCTCCTGGTTCAGCTCCACAGCCTCCTGCCACTGCAAATAGGTGCCTTTGCGTCTTCTATCAACATTAGCTACACACAAGACTGTATTTAAACATAGAAAGGAGTGAGGGAAAGGGTCTATTTGGGTAAAGCTGTGGAAATACTGTATTTCTTTAAAATGTCAAGCCTCTGCTGCTGTAATCGAAATGCACTGAACGTCCAGCTCCAGGAGGGAGCAGTCAGAAGGAGCAGAAGGCAGTGACAGATCATACTTAGAGTATCTTCTCGCTGCTGCTTTTTCCAGTTCAGATGCTGTGGAGTCTCCAACTACACGGACTGGTTTGAAGTCTACAACGCAACCCGGGTGCCGGACTCCTGCTGCTTAGAATTCAGCGAGAACTGTGGCCTCCACTCCCCAGGGACCTGGTGGAAAGCGGTGAGTAGCTTTCCAGCAGCAGCTGCCTTCCAACCCAGGTGAGGGGCAGGCAGCTGGTCACTCGCAGGGCTCTGCAGAAGGCATGTTGTACCCTTACTCATCTTTAATCAGGTGATTTCAGAAGCTTCGTGTTGAGCTGTGGCTTTTGACCTCCAATGAAACTGCCAATTTAATTATTTTTTTGAGCTGAAGGCTTTCCTTGCAGTAGGCCCTGAGCTGCTGTTTCACATTGCAGACAAGCACCTTCAACACTCATCTCCTGCACAGTCCAACTAGATCTAGCTAGAAAATTACAGGATTGTCCTTTTTAATGTCCCACCTACTGGAATTGGGTAGAGATAAAGGCAAATGCCTCGTCTGCACACACATAGCACAAGCCCTGGAGCAGCAGCTGTAGGTTATGGTGGCCCCAGGCATCATGAGGGAAGGGGACTGCATGGAGTGCTCTGCTGCTCCCAGGAACCCTACTTCAGGGGCTTCCACTGCCCAGTAGGAGACTGGGAACTGTTCCACCAAATTGCCAGCAGCATTTTTTTTTCTTGCAATGAGTTTCTGCACTTGCCTTTAATCAAATTGAAAACCCCATGGGATAATTCCCCTACAATGTCCTCAGCAAGGTCTTTCTAGAGCAGATAATCAGAGCCTAAATTCTCTGAAATTAGCTCAGCAATTCTTTGTTCCAATTACAGGTAGTGCAATTACTCAGGAGGGGTTTGGAGTAAGGCCAGCTGATGAAATGGAATTATAAGGTAGTTTTGCTGTTTCTAGTGGGTTTGTGAAGACAATGAGTAAAGCTCCTTGGCCACTTTGTAGTGAGATTCCAGATGCATGGATTGGCACTGGCAGAGGCTGAGTTCCAGCCAGACATGGATCCCTTCTACCTCTTGAGTAGCTCCAACTCAAATTTTGAATTTAAGGACTTAAAAGTTCTTCTTCTATTTTATTCAGAGTACCGAGAAGATCAGTGCAGGTTAACCCCATGTCTTCTGGTAGGCATTAGGAGGTTTGCCTTTATACGTAGTGTGAAAGTCACTGAAGGCTGAATGATTCTTGGCCGCGTACATTTACAAGACAGAGGGCAAAATTTTTGCACAAGGTTGTCTTACAGACATTATTTATTATTTACATGTTATTTAAAGAAAATTGGGCCAATTCTGCCCTCCCCAAAACTGGGCCAGGAACACGAGCACCCAGCTACTGCAGAATTTAAAGCAGGAAGCAAATAATGGTTGAGTGCCCATACTGCAATTAGAAGTGATGGACAGTGGTGTGAAATGGGCCTCTGTGGAGCAGGAGTGGCTACTGAACAGATCTCACTGGAACGTTTGGGTTTGATATATACATTATAAATATTTGCTTTCCTGAAATATGGAGAAAATGAGAGGCTCATTCTGAAGTTCTTACTGCTTCTACTTGGTTTTCAGAGGGCAAAGTTTAATTATTTTTAGTTATTGGCCCAATTTATTTGGAGGTGCACTTTTTTGTGTCATTACAATTAATATTCCCTGTTCAAGTTTCAACTAGAAATATACTGCAGTTGTACCAACGCTGAAGTAATAATCCAGGCTACCGAGCAATTCAGGCTGATCTATCTCTCTTCTATCTGTACATTCTCAGGGGAGCAGAGCTGTGCGTTGATTGCTAATACAATATTCTGTTGTTTTTTTTTTTTCCAGCCTTGCTATGACACAGTGAAAGTATGGCTCCAGGAGAACTTACTAGCAGTGGGAATCTTTGGATTGTGCACAGCTATGGTGCAGGTACAGTTTAATATAAATTTTCAAATCCTAATTAACCATAACGAAATAAGTGACCATCGATCCAGGTACACTCTGCCCAGGCCTGTTTTAATAATTCCAAATTTTGTATCATGTTAGAGTAAAACTCTGCAAGATTTAAGTTTTTTATGTTTTCATTTAGTTAAAATACTATGTACAAGGTACAGAACTAGGAATATTGCACACATTTTCTGTTTGATGATGCACTGCAAAGAGCAGGGACTTTTTACCAAATAGTTTATCTAAGGCTTAGCCTAGACTCAGTGGCTGTCCGCACCATCCAGAGACAGCAGCCTAGTGAGGGGAGGGTGAATTGCCTTTTAGGGTACCTGCGTTTGTCCAGGAATTCTCCACACAGGACTATCCACCTCAGCTCAATACCTAACTTCTGGGATCAGAATTCCACTCCTATCCCCACTGATGTGGGATCAGGCAGCAAGGCACGTGTCTTACTCTGTCTCGTGTGTCACGTATTGACTGCAGCCTATTAATGCAAATGCCTGACTCCTCCTAGACCCAAATTTAGTAGAGTTTTGGGGTTTGTTTTCCAGTATAGTAAGCAGATATGTTTTAGAAAATAGATAAGCACAAGAAGATCATACAGCACAGTGACAGTGTAAGACTGTTGGTAATATATTGCCAAGTTTTAAAAAACAGCTTTTGAGCATCTATTCAGCATTTAGGGAGTCCTTAAAAGGTACATTAAAAACCCAGCAGCCCATGTCAGGTACTTCTCACAGGCCTTGATTATATTTAGGGTATTTAAGAGAATACACTTTCTGACAGAAAGAAATTACTACTTTGCATGGGAGAAAACACTTCCTTTCAGACACTTTAAAAATGCTAATTGATATTCCTAGTACATGCTGTGAAATACAGAGAAAACACCTCAGAACACCAAAGATATGTAGTCTGTCTTCCAGTTGTGCTATGTGATTGAATCTGAACGTTGATGACAAAAGTTTTGATGTGCTGTCACCTAAAATGAATTGTATTCCCTCTATTGTTGCTGTTACAGTGTTGTTCTGGCCCTAAGTATGTGATGGCCTTTGCTTTCCTGTTAAAGATCTCATAGAGTCATACAGTGACACAACTTGGAGGACATACAGCACATGTGGCAGAAGAATCTTCTTCAGTCATGGATGCTCAAAATTGTAAATGAAATTCAGGTTTTATTGTGCAGCTGTCCCTGAAGGTGTTCCTTTGATAAGAAGTAGATAAGAATTATAAAACAGCGCTAAAGCCTAAACAGCCTATAAAACAATTAAAGCCTAACAATCTTATTTCATTGTCAAAAAAACAGGCAATGAAGACAATAACAACTTTATAACAATTTTTTTTTCTTTATAAAGTAGTATAGTGTTATTCACATACTCTTCCAAAATACTCCTTAACAGGAACTACTACTTATGTAAAGAGTAAATTTGAAGTGGTCAAATTAAGTGCTTAAAATAGAATTAATACAAAATATTTCTACCTGGCAAACCTTTATTTCAGTGACAATTTTTACAGTGGTGTTGCAAATGAATACAACAACCATTTAGTACATTCATGTAAGTACTTCAACTGGAAGGAAAATAACACACTCTTCCCCATCCCTTTTTCTGATGAAGTAATCTACCAGAGGTGGCACAGCAGGTCAATAGTTGGGCTGGGAGAAGAACCACCACCTCCCTGCTGCTTCTCTTGAATAGGCTGAGTAGAAAGACACATACATTGTTGATGAGGCGTTGATGGTGATGATTAATGCATGGACAGTCTCCAGTGATTCCCCCACTGGGACGTGTGCACACATCTGCTTGGAAAAGTAAAGCACGGTAAAGTAAAGCACAGCATCCTTTGGGGCAGGGGTGAACCTGATTGTCTTTCAAAGCAATAGCTCTGAGATAACCCACAGCTGTGGGGCTGTGTGGTTGCTACTATAAATACATTCAAACCAAAGACATCCAAATATTTCTTTTCAATATACCTCTTCTCAGTATCTGATGGCTGCTTTTCATGGAGAAATCAACTCTCCAATGCTCCCATTGTTCATTCTGTAAAACAGCAATACAGGTAAGGACAAAAAGCAGACAGAAACTAGGAACAGAACAAGGACATGAGCTGGCAGGAAGACACATGTTACATGTCTTCCTGTGTGTGAACAAACCAGTGTAAGAATGCTTTTCTCTCTTTTTTTGTTTCAATAAATAGAGGGGGGAGGGGTTACTTACTGAAAAACAATTGTTTGTTGTGTGTTTTTTTTCTCAGATTCTCGGACTCACCTTTGCAATGACCATGTATTGTCAGGTAGTCAAGGCAGACACCTACTGTGCATAGATACCATTCCCGATCTTTCTGCTCCTCCTCCAAAGGACACAGGAGAAATCTCCTTCATGTTCATTCATCTGACCTTTTTTTCTCCCCCCCTTTGTACTATGAACTGTGTATAATGCTATCTTTCTGAAGATTTTGTGAGTCACCCCACTTTACTGAAGGAGGAAGAAAATAAAAAGTCAGTACTTGAACTGGCACAGGTAAGAAGCAGCCTTGTCTTTAAACAGAAGAAAACCTCCAAAGAGCAATGGTTCCTTGTCCACGGCCCATGGCGAGGCAAAGGAAACGGCATTGGAGGGGCTGATCCGCAAACGGATGTTAGGAAAGGATTGCACGGAGGCAACCTCTGCACCAGCTGCCAGGTTACCTCCCCACGTGTCACCGTCTGGAAGAGAGGGCATAGAAAATGAAAAAATGAGTATTCTTCAGCGTGGAAAGAAGGTAGAGTAGCTAGCACTGAATGCAATTGTAATTTTATTACAGTTTGCACGCAGTTAAAATGTCAAGATCAAGCAGCCCTGCCTCCAAGTGTCTCAAGATGATTTTGTAGCCAGGAGAGGATCATGTTCAGAAATATATTACTTTAAAGGAATATTAAAGGAGTCTTACATGCTGCAAAGTCAGGCTTTTAATCAGAATCTGTACAGTGAGATCTGGCTGTTAAGGGAAAACAACATTGGACATTGTCTTGCTTATTAATTGCCAGTGGCATATAGATGGTTGACTGTATATGTAATATATATTACATTCATATACACATGCTGTTCCAAAAGGTGAAAATAGCCAGCATCTAACCTCGGAAAGAGGGAACCTTACTATCCCATTTTACATTCCAACTGAAATAACTGAGAAACAAGTAATTACTTTCAGCTGTATGTTCATTTCAGTAAACAACTTGTGAGTGGGCTCTCTCTGTCATTCTACTACGGTTTTATTTCTTATCATCCCTGTTTCAAGTTAGTCTGCCAAAAAGTATCACTCACTTCCATGCTTGAGGATCCCTACAAAGCTGTCAGCTGTTCCTTCCCTGAATGTCACCATTTCATTAATTTACTTGGGGATATCATCATCTGCAGGTATGATAGAGTTTGCCTTCCTGAGGAAAAATCGTTTGCACATTGCTCATTTTTTCTGAGAGTTATTGAGAGTTCAGATGTTTTTATCCTAGGTTTTTTTGGTGTTTTGGTTTTTTTCAGTTGCATGCTTACAACAGCCGAGACACATCAGTCTTTGTTAGAACTGGAGTCACCTCTCAGTTCTGTTTTTCAGATTCATCTCCATCTGCCTGGCTGTTGGCTAGAATATGCCCCACACTTTCTGAATTTGCAGAAATCAAAATCATAACTTTCCGTAGCCAGAAGACAGTCACCAGTTATCCAATTTCCCCACTCTGCATTGGTAACTTAAGTAATTTATGTGGTAACCTTCTGTGCGCAGCTTCTAGCGATGAGGTGAAGATCAGATGTCCAAACAAACAATTCCCCATCAGCAAGCAGCCCCAGATAACGCACAGGTGACAGGGGAGAAGCTGAAGCACAGCAGGGAACAGGCAAACAGCAATGCTGCTGGCCTGCTCCCTGCAGCCAGCCTTTGAGGACCTCTCAGCCACTGACAATAGGCCAGAGATGACCATGGTGCCCTGTTTCCCCAGAAAGCTCAATGCAGCCATTCCTACTGCCATAGACTAGAAGCATGCATCCAGTTCAGGCAAAAAAAGTTACCCTGTACCTTTGGTACTTACAACAGCGGGTCTCTGCTATGAATGACGTTGTGCTTACCTTGATTTAAAGGCAATGGCCAGCAGTAAAGCTGGACTTGCTGACTGACAGCTTATTGAACAATCTCCTTAACACCTGTAAATAACCCTTTTCTGGACCTGCACCATTGACAAATACTGCTCTCACTGCTTGGGATTTGGGTCTTTTTTTCTCTTTGCTGATTTTCTGCAGTCCACTCACCCTCAGGCCCAAACTCACAGGGAAGTGCCTAGGATGCTCTGGTGTATGAAAGAGCAAGTATCTATCTTCCAAAATCTTACCCTCTATAAAGGTGCATCTGTAAAGGATGTAGCATGGAGCACGTAGCTGTCCAGGCCAAGCTGAAAGCAACATATCACTTGTGTGCATTTTATGTGGCTTCCCAAGCACTCACTGTCACAGCAACCTCAGCACCACTACAGATTTGACTGCCCTGCTAACAAGCCTTGACAAATGTTAACACATCTCAGCCCAAGACAGAGGTTAAACCAAGTGAGCAGCCCACACACAGGTGCCCCGTGCAAGAGACTTGCTCTCGGTGTTACAGTCACCACAGTCTCAACGGTCTCTGCTTCCTGAGCACAGCCTGACCTGTCAACAGTCCTGCTCTTGAAAGATGGTCTAAATTCCTTCTACTCTGTTCCTTTCTTACCTGCATAGAGACATGATTCCAGGTTAGATGTACCATTAGTTGTTGCCGTGGTTTATAGTTTGTAACACACAGGTGCTCCTGCTGACAGCTCAGAGTTCCCACCACTGAAAAGCAGCATAACAGAGTGATAAATATATTAATAAAACATTGATTTTTAAGAAGGATAAAAGGTAAACACGTCTATTTGTAGTGTTCCCTGCCATTAAAAATTAACACGGATACAGCAGGCTGATGATGGCTGTTGATAAGAGCAAACTATTGTGCAAGAGAGCTCCCATAGAGGGCAACTTTCATCAATTTGCCTCCTGGTGTAGGGAAGAGAGATCACAAACCCTTGTCCTGAGTCTCCCAATAACATGTGCTGAGCGCTCAGAGAAGACTGCTAGACTTCAGCTAAGCCTACAGAAGAAACAAAATCAGAAACAGAGACTGAAGAAAAGTCAAACTGTGGTTCCCTCTAATTATTTTCCGCAATTTCAGTGTCTTTACAAGATAAGCTGCTTCAGTTTTCAAAAACACATATGTACAGGGAGTGTAAGAAATACTCAGGTTCTAAATCCCAGTTACTGCAACAGAAACATACGGCGCTAATGGCTGAAAAGAAAGAAATAAAAAATGAAAAAGAAAAACCACACAAAACAGACCATAAATTGCTGCTAGTAATTCTTTTTTTTAAACACTACTCTTACACTGCCAACTGCTACTACAACTTGTTTATAATTTGAACTGGACTATTTTCTATATTTGATGTTATTAACTCTCTTCACCCAGGCCAAACAGATGTTACAGTGCTTAAAGCATTACCAGCACAATCCAATTTCAAACCTCTGAACATACTGCATATAACAAGCCTCAGACTTAGCATATATTCTTTTTAAAAAGCATTGCATATTTTCTCTGCTGACGAGGTCAGAATATTTTAAAAACCAATATTATCCATAAAAGTTCATGCTGAACTGGTTGATTATAAATACCTTGTAGTGCATAACACCCATGTAAAAAGCTGCAGAGCAACACAGAAGTCATTCCAATTGCTTCCCATTAGTGTTTTGTCACCTTTAGTAAAGTCTTCTGTATTATTTTCACTTCTTATCTTTAAACATAAAGGAGGACTTGATACGTTTAAATTAAAGACAGAACCAAAAGCAACAAAGACATTGAAGGATTTAGACTCATTGCTCTTTCTGCTTAATAAAAAGATGTGAAGGCACAGGGCACACAGCTGGACATACTGATTACAGCAACATCAGGATTTAGCTTTTAGATTCAGTCCAATATACTTCTGGCTTTTCATCTTCACAATTTTTATATATATATATAAAAAATAGAATATGGTTTATTTTCCTGTACAGTAACTGTCAGTAGCAGCCAAATGTTATTGCTTGTACAATAGATTTATTTAGCTCCACATCTTATAGTGCACAATCACTGAAATTCACTTGTTTCTCCCCCACAAATAATATAAACTTATAAAGGTTTATTCTGTCATTTAATAATTGCCATTTGAATGCAGCACTGTATGATTTATAATATGCAGAGGAAGGAACTGCACAGAAGCTGTAAAAATATTTTATCTCGCATCAGCAATATGGCTGCTGTGCAAACCCACCCAACCCCCTCAGATCACAAACTAATTAAGAACTGGCAACATCCTTCAGTGCACAGTGGCTTCAGGCTGCCTCTTCCCCCACTCACAGATAGACCCAGAGGCTGTTTGCAAGGAGAAAGGTAAAGCCATTCACTCACCTCTCAGCTCCATTGTTGTGCTATAAAGATGGCACCAAAGGTAAGCAACAAAAACCAGCAGTTGATTGTGGCATTTATTTTAAAACCAGACTCCATTACCTTTGTCTGCAAGGATTCTTGCTGAGTGGGAATGATCTTCACAGATACTGAGTCAGACAATTCACAGTAAGAACACAAGTCAGGACTCCTCATGGGAAATTTTGTTTGGATTCCATTGTGAATTCTCCTAGATTTTCACTGGTATCTTACCCCAGTGGGCAGGTCTCCTCAGTTCTTTGGATTTTGTCGCTGCAACTACAGTGATACATTTTTGTGCATTCATATAAAGAACAAAATTTTAAAAATACATTTTATTTTTTAAAAGTTATTAAATATTCTTTAAAGTTTACAACAGAATGTCTTTTGTATTCTTTGTAATCAACTACACTACAAGCTATACAGTGAGTATATACAGCCCCAAAGATGTGCAAGTGCACACACACAGTGTACACAATAAATAAAAACCAAAAAAAACAAACAAAAAAACCCCACAGCCTACTTTTTTGTCGTTTTTCATTACCTATCTTTGATTTGACCCATCCTTCCTTACAGATTTTTTTAATTATTATTAAGTGGCTTACCTGTTCCCAGGTAAATTTACATCCATTTCTTTTTCCTCTTAAGGGCAACCTGGAAATCATATGATAGTCAATAACAGTCCAGAAAATCCTGGGGCATCAGGTTTACAGTGTAACAAAATACTAAGACCCAAGTCCAATTATTTTCTGTTCAAAACTTGTCTGTTACTGTTCATTTTGAAACAGGAGGACCTTTTTTTTCTGAGGTAGTTGCTTAGATTCAAAAATTACATAGAAAACAAAAAAAACAGACCATGTTAAAATAGATCAACTAGGAACACCTGCTGTGTCAGATCAGAAGGAGGTTTGGTTAGCAGGTATCTTGTCTGCCATCATGTTCTAACACTGCCTTTTTCAGTACAATTTATTGTACCCTCCAGGTCAGACAGCTTCACAGGTGAAACTGCCTCTCAACTAAGTGCATTCTGAACAACACAGGCATATTGTAAGCATAGACGTGGTCTGAAATAGCAGACCCAGAGTTTTTAGGGGTTGTTGCAGAAAACCTTATAAAGGATAAGCCAAACCTTTGGTGGAAGTTTCTTACAACTCCCTCAATTCAGTAGGTGTGTTTATATTACTTGAATTTTCTTCATCCCATTAACTGTACCACTAGATGGTCTCATTAACCACATCTACTTTTAATCCCTTTCTGACTTTGGGAAACTCCCCGCTTCAGTCTTACATAGTAAGTAGCAGTGAATTTCACAATTTCATCATGATGTATACATTTAAAATATAGGCACAAAGCAGCTGTATTAGCTTTACAGCCTAGTTTGTCTTTCCACTAGAGCTTAAACCTGGGTCATAAAGTATGCTATTGATTTTCAAGATCCCATTGTTTAAATAAACCTAAGCCCAGCATACCCTCCCCCAGCAGCTATCCTAGCTCCGTTGTCTTTGCTTTTTGAACTACATGTTGGTATAGGCAGAAGTGTTTCTGTTTTAATCAACAACTAGCCTAGTATTTCAGCTGACATCCTCCCATTTTTCTCAGCTGTGCTTAACACAATCGGGGAATATCAGCCTTAGCTGACTATACCAGCTGTGTAATGCAAAGTACATTCTACCTGCATGGCGATAATTTTCAGAGAGATTTAAGGGTAGCTTATGAAACTATGAAATACAGAGCCCTGTGCTTCTTACCTTTCCATATGTTAAAAAAAAAAACCAAAATATGAGGATAGGGTGAGAGAGCTGGGACTCTTTAGCCTGGAGAAGAGAAGGCTGAGGGGAGACCTTATTAATCCTTACAAGTATCTAAAGGGTGGATTGAAGGAGGATGGAGCCAGACTTTTCAGTGGTTCCCAGTGACAGGACGAGGGGCAACGGGCTCAAGCTGGAACATAAAGTCCCATTCAAATATGAGAAAAAAACTTCTTTCCGGTGAGGGTGACAGAGCCCTGGAACAGGCTGCCCAGGGAGGTTGTGGAGTCCCCTTCTCTGGAGATTTTCAAGACCTGCCCAGATGCAGTCCTGAGTGATGTGCTCTGGGCAATCCTGCTTTGGCAGGGGAGTTGGACTAGATGATCTCCAGAGATCCCTTCCAACTCTAACAATCCTGTGATTCCGTGATTAGCTCTCCTAGCAACTGCAATTTGAAAGCCTGTTTTTCTGAAATCCCATCAGTTGCCTATGCAGGTCATTTTTACCCTAGGCCTTGCTTCCCTTCCCTACCCCTACCCCCCTACAAATGTAGTAACATTTTGTTACTACAGAGTTGCTTAACAGAGACTTCCTTGTACTTGTGGTTACAAGAATAACTTGAAAAGATGGGATCCTCACTCACTATAAACCTCTCCTTACATTCCCATGGCATTGCTATTACAGAATATAGTTCAAATCACAGCCAACAAGGTAAAATATATAACTGTATATAATGAAATCTATATAAAACAAAGTACAGCATAAAAAACAACTGTTAATGTGCATTGCTTATGTGTTTAAACTCCTGTGACAGTGACAGGAATTTCAGGTGTAAAGCATTCATCCTGAAGATACCAAAAGTTACTATAGAAATAATGGGATTTCAGGAACTGGTTTGTGAAAGTCTACTCAGATGCACGTCCTCATCTCCCTCCTTCACAAATACTTTTCCTTGCCTATAAAGCTTAACCCCATTGCTCCTCCAGCCCTTCCAGCTCTACTGTACCATTTAAATCTGCTGTTCTGCACACAGGGATGGTTAATCAAGGTTCCAGTCTGCCAAATACAGAGGGGATTCAGTTATTTGTATTTTATAACTGTAAGTGCCCAAGGATAGCCATCTAACATGGCTTTATGAAGGTCAGGTTTAACATTGAGTTAGGAGACCATAGTCCCTACATAGCAAAGAAAACCTGAGTACTGTAACCAAATAATTCACATCAGCATCGTTGTGGACTTAACTAGTGACTTACTCTGAATTGCTCTCAACATCCTCAGTTCCCCAGTGCAAGCCTGCAAATTGCTAGCTGAGCGCTGTTATCAAGCAGAACAATGAGTGCTGTTATCAAGCAGAACTGTCACTAGTTGTTTAGTATTCTTCAGAGATACTAATGCTGCAGGGATTCTTTTTCTTTTTTTTTTTTTTTTCGCCCATACTGCAATTAGAAGTGATGGACAGTGGTGTGAAATGGGCCTCTGTGGAGCAGGAGTGGCTACTGAACAGATCTCACTGGAACGTTTGGGTTTGATATATACATTATAAATTTTTGCTTTCCTGAAATATGGAGAAAATGAGAGGCTCATTCTGAAGTTCTTACTGCTTCTACTTGGTTTTCAGAGGGCAAAGTTTAATTATTTTTAGTTATTGGCCCAATTTATTTGGAGGTGCACTTTTTTGTGTCATTACAATTAATATTCCCTGTTCAAGTTTCAACTAGAAATATACTGCAGTTGTACCAACGCTGAAATAATAATCCAGGCTACCGAGCAATTCAGGCTGATCTATCTCTCTTCTATCTGTACATTCTCAGGGGAGCAGAGCTGTGCGTTGATTGCTAATACAATATTCTGTTGTTTTTTTTTTTTCCAGCCTTGCTATGACACAGTGAAAGTATGGCTCCAGGAGAACTTACTAGCAGTGGGAATCTTTGGATTGTGCACAGCTATGGTGCAGGTACAGTTTAATATAAATTTTCAAATCCTAATTAACCATAACGAAATAAGTGACCATCGATCCAGGTACACTCTGCCCAGGCCTGTTTTAATAATTCCAAATTTTGTATCATGTTAGAGTAAAACTCTGCAAGATTTAAGTTTTTTATGTTTTCATTTAGTTAAAATACTATGTACAAGGTACAGAACTAGGAATATTGCACACATTTTCTGTTTGATGATGCACTGCAAAGAGCAGGGACTTTTTACCAAATAGTTTATCTAAGGCTTAGCCTAGACTCAGTGGCTGTCCGCACCATCCAGAGACAGCAGCCTAGTGAGGGGAGGGTGAATTGCCTTTTAGGGTACCTGCGTTTGTCCAGGAATTCTCCACACAGGACTATCCACCTCAGCTCAATACCTAACTTCTGGGATCAGAATTCCACTCCTATCCCCACTGATGTGGGATCAGGCAGCAAGGCACGTGTCTTACTCTGTCTCGTGTGTCACGTATTGACTGCAGCCTATTAATGCAAATGCCTGACTCCTCCTAGACCCAAATTTAGTAGAGTTTTGGGGTTTGTTTTCCAGTATAGTAAGCAGATATGTTTTAGAAAATAGATAAGCACAAGAAGATCATACAGCACAGTGACAGTGTAAGACTGTTGGTAATATATTGCCAAGTTTTAAAAAACAGCTTTTGAGCATCTATTCAGCATTTAGGGAGTCCTTAAAAGGTACATTAAAAACCCAGCAGCCCATGTCAGGTACTTCTCACAGGCCTTTCTGACAGAAAGAAATTACTACTTTGCATGGGAGAAAACACTTCCTTTCAGACACTTTAAAAATGCTAATTGATATTCCTAGTACATGCTGTGAAATACAGAGAAAACACCTCAGAACACCAAAGATATGTAGTCTGTCTTCCAGTTGTGCTATGTGATTGAATCTGAACGTTGATGACAAAAGTTTTGATGTGCTGTCACCTAAAATGAATTGTATTCCCTCTATTGTTGCTGTTACAGTGTTGTTCTGGCCCTAAGTATGTGATGGCCTTTGCTTTCCTGTTAAAGATCTCATAGAGTCATACACAACTTGGAGGACATACAGCACATGTGGCAGAAGAATCTTCTTCAGTCATGGATGCTCAAAATTGTAAATGAAATTCAGGTTTTATTGTGCAGCTGTCCCTGAAGGTGTTCCTTTGATAAGAAGTAGATAAGAATTATAAAACAGCGCTAAAGCCTAAACAGCCTATAAAACAATTAAAGCCTAACAATCTTATTTCATTGTCAAAAAAACAGGCAATGAAGACAATAACAACTTTATAACAATTTTTTTTTCTTTATAAAGTAGTATAGTGTTATTCACATACTCTTCCAAAATACTCCTTAACAGGAACTACTACTTATGTAAAGAGTAAATTTGAAGTGGTCAAATTAAGTGCTTAAAATAGAATTAATACAAAATATTTCTACCTGGCAAACCTTTATTTCAGTGACAATTTTTACAGTGGTGTTGCAAATGAATACAACAACCATTTAGTACATTCATGTAAGTACTTCAACTGGAAGGAAAATAACACACTCTTCCCCATCCCTTTTTCTGATGAAGTAATCTACCAGAGGTGGCACAGCAGGTCAATAGTTGGGCTGGGAGAAGAACCACCACCTCCCTGCTGCTTCTCTTGAATAGGCTGAGTAGAAAGACACATACATTGTTGATGAGGCGTTGATGGTGATGATTAATGCATGGACAGTCTCCAGTGATTCCCCCACTGGGACGTGTGCACACATCTGCTTGGAAAAGTAAAGCACGGTAAAGTAAAGCACAGCATCCTTTGGGGCAGGGGTGAACCTGATTGTCTTTCAAAGCAATAGCTCTGAGATAACCCACAGCTGTGGGGCTGTGTGGTTGCTACTATAAATACATTCAAACCAAAGACATCCAAATATTTCTTTTCAATATACCTCTTCTCAGTATCTGATGGCTGCTTTTCATGGAGAAATCAACTCTCCAATGCTCCCATTGTTCATTCTGTAAAACAGCAATACAGGTAAGGACAAAAAGCAGACAGAAACTAGGAACAGAACAAGGACATGAGCTGGCAGGAAGACACATGTTACATGTCTTCCTGTGTGTGAACAAACCAGTGTAAGAATGCTTTTCTCTCTTTTTTTGTTTCAATAAATAGAGGGGGGAGGGGTTACTTACTGAAAAACAATTGTTTGTTGTGTGTTTTTTTTCTCAGATTCTCGGACTCACCTTTGCAATGACCATGTATTGTCAGGTAGTCAAGGCAGACACCTACTGTGCATAGATACCATTCCCGATCTTTCTGCTCCTCCTCCAAAGGACACAGGAGAAATCTCCTTCATGTTCATTCATCTGACCTTTTTTTCTCCCCCCCTTTGTACTATGAACTGTGTATAATGCTATCTTTCTGAAGATTTTGTGAGTCACCCCACTTTACTGAAGGAGGAAGAAAATAAAAAGTCAGTACTTGAACTGGCACAGGTAAGAAGCAGCCTTGTCTTTAAACAGAAGAAAACCTCCAAAGAGCAATGGTTCCTTGTCCACGGCCCATGGCGAGGCAAAGGAAACGGCATTGGAGGGGCTGATCCGCAAACGGATGTTAGGAAAGGATTGCACGGAGGCAACCTCTGCACCAGCTGCCAGGTTACCTCCCCACGTGTCACCGTCTGGAAGAGAGGGCATAGAAAATGAAAAAATGAGTATTCTTCAGCGTGGAAAGAAGGTAGAGTAGCTAGCACTGAATGCAATTGTAATTTTATTACAGTTTGCACGCAGTTAAAATGTCAAGATCAAGCAGCCCTGCCTCCAAGTGTCTCAAGATGATTTTGTAGCCAGGAGAGGATCATGTTCAGAAATATATTACTTTAAAGGAATATTAAAGGAGTCTTACATGCTGCAAAGTCAGGCTTTTAATCAGAATCTGTACAGTGAGATCTGGCTGTTAAGGGAAAACAACATTGGACATTGTCTTACTTATTAATTGCCAGTGGCATATAGATGGTTGACTGTATATGTAATATATATTACATTCATATACACATGCTGTTCCAAAAGGTGAAAATAGCCAGCATCTAACCTCGGAAAGAGGGAACCTTACTATCCCATTTTACATTCCAACTGAAATAACTGAGAAACAAGTAATTACTTTCAGCTGTATGTTCATTTCAGTAAACAACTTGTGAGTGGGCTCTCTCTGTCATTCTACTACGGTTTTATTTCTTATCATCCCTGTTTCAAGTTAGTCTGCCAAAAAGTATCACTCACTTCCATGCTTGAGGATCCCTACAAAGCTGTCAGCTGTTCCTTCCCTGAATGTCACCATTTCATTAATTTACTTGGGGATATCATCATCTGCAGGTATGATAGAGTTTGCCTTCCTGAGGAAAAATCGTTTGCACATTGCTCATTTTTTCTGAGAGTTATTGAGAGTTCAGATGTTTTTATCCTAGGTTTTTTTGGTGTTTTGGTTTTTTTCAGTTGCATGCTTACAACAGCCGAGACACATCAGTCTTTGTTAGAACTGGAGTCACCTCTCAGTTCTGTTTTTCAGATTCATCTCCATCTGCCTGGCTGTTGGCTAGAATATGCCCCACACTTTCTGAATTTGCAGAAATCAAAATCATAACTTTCCGTAGCCAGAAGACAGTCACCAGTTATCCAATTTCCCCACTCTGCATTGGTAACTTAAGTAATTTATGTGGTAACCTTCTGTGCGCAGCTTCTAGCGATGAGGTGAAGATCAGATGTCCAAACAAACAATTCCCCATCAGCAAGCAGCCCCAGATAACGCACAGGTGACAGGGGAGAAGCTGAAGCACAGCAGGGAACAGGCAAACAGCAATGCTGCTGGCCTGCTCCCTGCAGCCAGCCTTTGAGGACCTCTCAGCCACTGACAATAGGCCAGAGATGACCATGGTGCCCTGTTTCCCCAGAAAGCTCAATGCAGCCATTCCTACTGCCATAGACTAGAAGCATGCATCCAGTTCAGGCAAAAAAAGTTACCCTGTACCTTTGGTACTTACAACAGCGGGTCTCTGCTATGAATGACGTTGTGCTTACCTTGATTTAAAGGCAATGGCCAGCAGTAAAGCTGGACTTGCTGACTGACAGCTTATTGAACAATCTCCTTAACACCTGTAAATAACCCTTTTCTGGACCTGCACCATTGACAAATACTGCTCTCACTGCTTGGGATTTGGGTCTTTTTTTCTCTTTGCTGATTTTCTGCAGTCCACTCACCCTCAGGCCCAAACTCACAGGGAAGTGCCTAGGATGCTCTGGTGTATGAAAGAGCAAGTATCTATCTTCCAAAATCTTACCCTCTATAAAGGTGCATCTGTAAAGGATGTAGCATGGAGCACGTAGCTGTCCAGGCCAAGCTGAAAGCAACATATCACTTGTGTGCATTTTATGTGGCTTCCCAAGCACTCACTGTCACAGCAACCTCAGCACCACTACAGATTTGACTGCCCTGCTAACAAGCCTTGACAAATGTTAACACATCTCAGCCCAAGACAGAGGTTAAACCAAGTGAGCAGCCCACACACAGGTGCCCCGTGCAAGAGACTTGCTCTCGGTGTTACAGTCACCACAGTCTCAACGGTCTCTGCTTCCTGAGCACAGCCTGACCTGTCAACAGTCCTGCTCTTGAAAGATGGTCTAAATTCCTTCTACTCTGTTCCTTTCTTACCTGCATAGAGACATGATTCCAGGTTAGATGTACCATTAGTTGTTGCCGTGGTTTATAGTTTGTAACACACAGGTGCTCCTGCTGACAGCTCAGAGTTCCCACCACTGAAAAGCAGCATAACAGAGTGATAAATATATTAATAAAACATTGATTTTTAAGAAGGATAAAAGGTAAACACGTCTATTTGTAGTGTTCCCTGCCATTAAAAATTAACACGGATACAGCAGGCTGATGATGGCTGTTGATAAGAGCAAACTATTGTGCAAGAGAGCTCCCATAGAGGGCAACTTTCATCAATTTGCCTCCTGGTGTAGGGAAGAGAGATCACAAACCCTTGTCCTGAGTCTCCCAATAACATGTGCTGAGCGCTCAGAGAAGACTGCTAGACTTCAGCTAAGCCTACAGAAGAAACAAAATCAGAAACAGAGACTGAAGAAAAGTCAAACTGTGGTTCCCTCTAATTATTTTCCGCAATTTCAGTGTCTTTACAAGATAAGCTGCTTCAGTTTTCAAAAACACATATGTACAGGGAGTGTAAGAAATACTCAGGTTCTAAATCCCAGTTACTGCAACAGAAACATACGGCGCTAATGGCTGAAAAGAAAGAAATAAAAAATGAAAAAGAAAAACCACACAAAACAGACCATAAATTGCTGCTAGTAATTCTTTTTTTTAAACACTACTCTTACACTGCCAACTGCTACTACAACTTGTTTATAATTTGAACTGGACTATTTTCTATATTTGATGTTATTAACTCTCTTCACCCAGGCCAAACAGATGTTACGGTGCTTAAAGCATTACCAGCACAATCCAATTTCAAACCTCTGAACATACTGCATATAACAAGCCTCAGACTTAGCATATATTCTTTTTAAAAAGCATTGCATATTTTCTCTGCTGACGAGGTCAGAATATTTTAAAAACCAATATTATCCATAAAAGTTCATGCTGAACTGGTTGATTATAAATACCTTGTAGTGCATAACACCCATGTAAAAAGCTGCAGAGCAACACAGAAGTCATTCCAATTGCTTCCCATTAGTGTTTTGTCACCTTTAGTAAAGTCTTCTGTATTATTTTCACTTCTTATCTTTAAACATAAAGGAGGACTTGATACGTTTAAATTAAAGACAGAACCAAAAGCAACAAAGACATTGAAGGATTTAGACTCATTGCTCTTTCTGCTTAATAAAAAGATGTGAAGGCACAGGGCACACAGCTGGACATACTGATTACAGCAACATCAGGATTTAGCTTTTAGATTCAGTCCAATATACTTCTGGCTTTTCATCTTCACAATTTTTATATATATATATAAAAAATAGAATATGGTTTATTTTCCTGTACAGTAACTGTCAGTAGCAGCCAAATGTTATTGCTTGTACAATAGATTTATTTAGCTCCACATCTTATAGTGCACAATCACTGAAATTCACTTGTTTCTCCCCCACAAATAATATAAACTTATAAAGGTTTATTCTGTCATTTAATAATTGCCATTTGAATGCAGCACTGTATGATTTATAATATGCAGAGGAAGGAACTGCACAGAAGCTGTAAAAATATTTTATCTCGCATCAGCAATATGGCTGCTGTGCAAACCCACCCAACCCCCTCAGATCACAAACTAATTAAGAACTGGCAACATCCTTCAGTGCACAGTGGCTTCAGGCTGCCTCTTCCCCCACTCACAGATAGACCCAGAGGCTGTTTGCAAGGAGAAAGGTAAAGCCATTCACTCACCTCTCAGCTCCATTGTTGTGCTATAAAGATGGCACCAAAGGTAAGCAACAAAAACCAGCAGTTGATTGTGGCATTTATTTTAAAACCAGACTCCATTACCTTTGTCTGCAAGGATTCTTGCTGAGTGGGAATGATCTTCACAGATACTGAGTCAGACAATTCACAGTAAGAACACAAGTCAGGACTCCTCATGGGAAATTTTGTTTGGATTCCATTGTGAATTCTCCTAGATTTTCACTGGTATCTTACCCCAGTGGGCAGGTCTCCTCAGTTCTTTGGATTTTGTCGCTGCAACTACAGTGATACATTTTTGTGCATTCATATAAAGAACAAAATTTTAAAAATACATTTTATTTTTTAAAAGTTATTAAATATTCTTTAAAGTTTACAACAGAATGTCTTTTGTATTCTTTGTAATCAACTACACTACAAGCTATACAGTGAGTATATACAGCCCCAAAGATGTGCAAGTGCACACACACAGTGTACACAATAAATAAAAACCAAAAAAAACAAACAAAAAAACCCCACAGCCTACTTTTTTGTCGTTTTTCATTACCTATCTTTGATTTGACCCATCCTTCCTTACAGATTTTTTTAATTATTATTAAGTGGCTTACCTGTTCCCAGGTAAATTTACATCCATTTCTTTTTCCTCTTAAGGGCAACCTGGAAATCATATGATAGTCAATAACAGTCCAGAAAATCCTGGGGCATCAGGTTTACAGTGTAACAAAATACTAAGACCCAAGTCCAATTATTTTCTGTTCAAAACTTGTCTGTTACTGTTCATTTTGAAACAGGAGGACCTTTTTTTTCTGAGGTAGTTGCTTAGATTCAAAAATTACATAGAAAACAAAAAAAACAGACCATGTTAAAATAGATCAACTAGGAACACCTGCTGTGTCAGATCAGAAGGAGGTTTGGTTAGCAGGTATCTTGTCTGCCATCATGTTCTAACACTGCCTTTTTCAGTACAATTTATTGTACCCTCCAGGTCAGACAGCTTCACAGGTGAAACTGCCTCTCAACTAAGTGCATTCTGAACAACACAGGCATATTGTAAGCATAGACGTGGTCTGAAATAGCAGACCCAGAGTTTTTAGGGGTTGTTGCAGAAAACCTTATAAAGGATAAGCCAAACCTTTGGTGGAAGTTTCTTACAACTCCCTCAATTCAGTAGGTGTGTTTATATTACTTGAATTTTCTTCATCCCATTAACTGTACCACTAGATGGTCTCATTAACCACATCTACTTTTAATCCCTTTCTGACTTTGGGAAACTCCCCGCTTCAGTCTTACATAGTAAGTAGCAGTGAATTTCACAATTTCATCATGATGTATACATTTAAAATATAGGCACAAAGCAGCTGTATTAGCTTTACAGCCTAGTTTGTCTTTCCACTAGAGCTTAAACCTGGGTCATAAAGTATGCTATTGATTTTCAAGATCCCATTGTTTAAATAAACCTAAGCCCAGCATACCCTCCCCCAGCAGCTATCCTAGCTCCGTTGTCTTTGCTTTTTGAACTACATGTTGGTATAGGCAGAAGTGTTTCTGTTTTAATCAACAACTAGCCTAGTATTTCAGCTGACATCCTCCCATTTTTCTCAGCTGTGCTTAACACAATCGGGGAATATCAGCCTTAGCTGACTATACCAGCTGTGTAATGCAAAGTACATTCTACCTGCATGGCGATAATTTTCAGAGAGATTTAAGGGTAGCTTATGAAACTATGAAATACAGAGCCCTGTGCTTCTTACCTTTCCATATGTTAAAAAAAAAAACCAAAATATGAGGATAGGGTGAGAGAGCTGGGACTCTTTAGCCTGGAGAAGAGAAGGCTGAGGGGAGACCTTATTAATCCTTACAAGTATCTAAAGGGTGGATTGAAGGAGGATGGAGCCAGACTTTTCAGTGGTTCCCAGTGACAGGACGAGGGGCAACGGGCTCAAGCTGGAACATAAAGTCCCATTCAAATATGAGAAAAAAACTTCTTTCCGGTGAGGGTGACAGAGCCCTGGAACAGGCTGCCCAGGGAGGTTGTGGAGTCCCCTTCTCTGGAGATTTTCAAGACCTGCCCAGATGCAGTCCTGAGTGATGTGCTCTGGGCAATCCTGCTTTGGCAGGGGAGTTGGACTAGATGATCTCCAGAGATCCCTTCCAACTCTAACAATCCTGTGATTCCGTGATTAGCTCTCCTAGCAACTGCAATTTGAAAGCCTGTTTTTCTGAAATCCCATCAGTTGCCTATGCAGGTCATTTTTACCCTAGGCCTTGCTTCCCTTCCCTACCCCTACCCCCCTACAAATGTAGTAACATTTTGTTACTACAGAGTTGCTTAACAGAGACTTCCTTGTACTTGTGGTTACAAGAATAACTTGAAAAGATGGGATCCTCACTCACTATAAACCTCTCCTTACATTCCCATGGCATTGCTATTACAGAATATAGTTCAAATCACAGCCAACAAGGTAAAATATATAACTGTATATAATGAAATCTATATAAAACAAAGTACAGCATAAAAAACAACTGTTAATGTGCATTGCTTATGTGTTTAAACTCCTGTGACAGTGACAGGAATTTCAGGTGTAAAGCATTCATCCTGAAGATACCAAAAGTTACTATAGAAATAATGGGATTTCAGGAACTGGTTTGTGAAAGTCTACTCAGATGCACGTCCTCATCTCCCTCCTTCACAAATACTTTTCCTTGCCTATAAAGCTTAACCCCATTGCTCCTCCAGCCCTTCCAGCTCTACTGTACCATTTAAATCTGCTGTTCTGCACACAGGGATGGTTAATCAAGGTTCCAGTCTGCCAAATACAGAGGGGATTCAGTTATTTGTATTTTATAACTGTAAGTGCCCAAGGATAGCCATCTAACATGGCTTTATGAAGGTCAGGTTTAACATTGAGTTAGGAGACCATAGTCCCTACATAGCAAAGAAAACCTGAGTACTGTAACCAAATAATTCACATCAGCATCGTTGTGGACTTAACTAGTGACTTACTCTGAATTGCTCTCAACATCCTCAGTTCCCCAGTGCAAGCCTGCAAATTGCTAGCTGAGCGCTGTTATCAAGCAGAACAATGAGTGCTGTTATCAAGCAGAACTGTCACTAGTTGTTTAGTATTCTTCAGAGATACTAATGCTGCAGGGATTCTTTTTTTTTTTTTTTTTTTTTCCTTTCCTTCTTGTAACCCAATTTGCCTTGGAAACTCACTCAGTGTTATTGTATCATCCACAGATGCAATTAACCAATTCTGGTATTATATCAGCTTGGATAGCAATCGCCCAGAATATTGAGCTAAAAAAATGCCTCAGCCAGAAATGTTGCTATTGCTGTTCTTTTGAAATGCTCCCGTGCATCCACACACTATTGAGGAGCCTGAAGCAGTGTTTGCATCCCCACATTTTTTACTGTGGCAGGCTTACTGTCCAAGGTAACTTCTACCAAAAAAATAAAAAAAAGGCAACTCTCAGTTCTCTCATTTCTCCAGGAATTGAGTCCTCCCCCCAAGGGAGTTAAAGCTGTTTACTGACTCAATTAAGATGAAGCATTTGCAAGTACTCCAGGAAAAGAGCACTTCAATGTGGTGCTGCTTCTAAGGCTGTCTTAGAACCCCCCCCCTCACTCTGTGAACCTATACAGATTGCTTATGACAGTCAAAGTCACTAAAAGCTTCTTTATAATCCTCAGAAGACCACACAGTCTTCCTCCCTCCCCACCAATGGCCACTGTCTTTGCATCTGTATTAACTTCATTTCAAAGTCACGTTGGCATTTGTCAAATAGGGAGGCTGCATATAGCTACAAGTGAAGCTATTTGGAAAAATTCGTCACGCGATGAGCTCAGCTGCAGGAACTGGACACACAAGTCCTCTTTTCCCCTAGAAGCCAGAGGTGCTTTGACTATTCTCCTGGTGAGCACCTAAGTTATGCTACTTGGTCTCTCGAGAACAGAGATGCCTTGAAACCTCATGGTTGAAAATACTTCTTTTGGGGGAAGAAGTGAGCTCAGACCTGTGCACAACTGAAGGAGCTCCTGCAAATGCAAACGCAAGAGAGTACATAGACTGAATTGATGTGTCATGTAATTACCAACTCACTTTCCCTAAACAAAATAACTCACCAGCTTGGAAGTACAGCTTGTTGTCATGGAACTTGCTTGATATTTGGTGCTAATAAAAATTGAAGTTCTAAATCTCCTTCCTGTGAAGTCTGTGCATTAGAGTTCTTCCCTATTAAACACCTTCTTATTCTAAACTCTGCACCACAGCTGGTTACCCTGACACAATACAATCTTCATTATCAAAAGGTCCTTTGAAATAAGTGCTCACAGTTTTAGAAGAAGAATTATCACATGAAAAACTAGCACAATTAAAAGCTTGCTGCAAATCACACTCTCTTGTTTCTGATGGAATCAAGAGTTAATGTACACTCAAAAAACTATGTACCTGTGTTCTTCTCTGAACTAGAATATTCCAATGCAAGCAATCTTTGCTATGGCTGACACAGGACTCGACTTTTGCACCAGGGAAGGTGAGGAAGAAAAGGGAAACCAAAAAATGACAGGTATGAAAAAACATAGATGAAAAATATTGGAGAAGATTGGAAACAGACAAGAGATGTGGGCAGACAACACTTTACACCTGAGCACACTGTTTTTCCCTGCTATAAGGTACAAAAATAGAGCAGTATCCCATGAAATGCCCAGTCAGTTCATTCACAACAGACACAGCATTCTTTTAGAAAGACACTCCCAGAACTGAATCAGGGTTGCAGTGTATATAAAGCCTCTTTATAAACTGTTCCTTGTAGCCCCTGTGATTTAGCAGATTTGGCATTTTTGAGTCTTGTGCAGATGGTGGTTCTCTTGGTTCTAGGACTAAAGCAGTCCTCCCCTGCAGCACGCTGTGACTCAGATCTGTGTGACAAAGCTGTGATGCCCTACTGGTACTGCAGCCAGGAGCTATCAGTCCATCCCTTGGATACAGTCTCCGTCTTACCACCACCAGCAGCCACACAGGTAACTTCCCAGTAGAGGAACTGCAACTGATACTGTCACCAGGAGAAGGGGGAAGTCACCAACCCCATCTAGCATAGACAAGGGCAAAGGTATGCGTATAAATGTTCATTGCAATTGTGTTTACCTCTTTTTCCTTGATCCTGCTTTCATCCTGTTCTGACTGCTTTCCTGTCCTCTTCAGACTGCAATCCCATCTACTCCCCTGCAGGTTCACAGAGCTACTGAAGGACACTGGAATACTCAGATGATGAAAACAGTTACGAGTTGTACAGACACTGATTTCTCTTACATCTTCCAACCTTCAGCACTCTCACAGCCTCACAGGAGATCAATCCAGGGCGCAGTGGGGGTGAATTTATATGTCATTTAAACATTACTGAAAACTGCTGAGATCCATGACTTTTAAAAGAACTCAGCATGTCACAGCTGATGTGTCACTGGTCACATGGAGTGCAGCGTCCTGCAAGTTAAAAAGCTTTCTTAACACCAGTGCAATTACACAGAAGGTAAGGGTCTTCAGCTGCACAATCCGATTTACCGACTACCAAAGAACGGAGTGCCCTGGTGCCTTATTTGCACAAGCAGCTCTGACAAAGTATAAACAGAAATTCAGGACAGTGCTGCCATTCTCAGTGCTGCTGATACAAGCCTATTTCATTTTCATTTTAATTTAGTGAGCTCTCACCGAAAATTAAAGATTCCCTGAAAGCTTTATAGCATAAAGTGGCAAATTAAATTGAAACTGAGATAATCCCCAGCAATGTGTACACAAGTAAAGCAAGTCTAAGTCCAGACACCTTTCAGACTAGTAAATTCTTATATAAATAAGAAAAAGCAATCTCCTACAATGGAAATAATCTCAAACCTTTGAATTTGTCTTCAGATATACCAGAATGCATCACACTGTGTATACACTACCATTGCACTGGCACTACGCAGATCTCTATCAGAGAATGAAGTACTATTGAAATGGGTTACATGAACCAGAAGCACCACAGCATTTCAGACAGGCTTTTTTTTTTAAAAAAAAAAGGCAGTCAGCCAGCCAAGCTGGTCTTTGTCAAATTTTCTCTGGCCGCCTTATTGAGAGCACATATCACAACCCTCAACATAACTCTCATTTCAGTATTTCCAAACAGCAACATTTGCTTATTTGAAAGTCTAAGCAAGATCTCCATTCAGGTAGGAAAGCTGCTCAGCTCTGCAACTCTTCTTTTTTAGGTCTAGGTAAAATTGGTCCTGTGGTAACAATAAAATAATAAGAAATAACCCACAAGAAATGACATTCTGGGTGTACAGATGTACACAGAAGGAATTTAAGCCCCAGGAATGAAAGCAGATTTGCCAGCAGGCAAGGTTGTGCTGTAGTTTCAGTTATGACTTCACTGCAATTTTTGAAGCAGAGAATACGATGATTCTCCAGGGAGACTGCACAACTACAATGCCTAAGCATACTTAAAGATTATCATTCAGGGCTTTTAAATCCAGCTCTATGTTTCCATTAATCCACTCAGCTGCCAGCTCAATCTCCCATTGGCAGGTTCGCTTGCTCTCTAACAATAGAGAGCTTATTAAATATTAAGGTCTTAATCTTAAGTACTTCTGTATGACTGAGAAATCCTAAATGGTGCACAGAAGATAAACATTTTCCCACTAAATATATATATATACACACACACACGGTGGTATTAGATAAAGGCAAATGTCTCAACGCTAACAGAAGTGTGTAATAAATCCACCTATTTTAAAGCAGTCCATGTGTCCCTTCAGTCACATTCTCCCCGAGTCGTCTAGACACTGGGATCACGGGTTTACCACTGAAGGACAAAAGCTCACTTTTTTTCCTGCCTTGAAATGCCAACTTAGCAATTAGAAAGAGGTTCACGGCAGGATTCACACTACTCTGATAATGCTGATGGCAAACACTACAGGTAAGGAGACAGCTGCTTAAAGATTGCAGGACCAGCATCACATCTGATATTTGAGCTCTGCTACTTGCCATTATATTATTTTAAAAAGCATTCAGCCAATATAGCTTTTGCTTAAAAATTAGGCTAACTAAAATGCATAAACTGGATATGTATTCAATACAAGATTTTCTGAAAAGAATAATTTTCTACCTATCAGGGAAGGAGGGCATCTAGTCAGACTGATTACTTTCCTCTTGTATTTCAGCTGGTTCACTTCAGATCACAAGAGCAGGTGGGGCAAACCAGGAAAGCTTTTAGCTGAGATTTTTAGCTTTTCATACTGTTAAGGCATTCCACTGGCCAACAGTAAAACAGATGGTCCAGGAAAACAGCAGCAAATGTGGGTACTTTTTGGGACTTCTGCTGTGGAAAGGGGCCAGGGAGTGCCCACAAGGGTGCAGAAGCCCCACTTGCCTCTTTGCCAGAAGATGAGCAGAGCTCTGTAGCGCAAGCAGTCCTGCTACCCCCTGAGGCAGCCCTGTGAGCTCGTGGGGAGTGCAGCTTGTTACACTATCTAAGGAACTAACACCTTCCCAGATTAGATAATTCTTTTATCTTCTTTCTCCGTGCCCTCCCCTCCAACCCAAGTTTTCTACTGCAGGCAGATCCGCTGTTCTCTGCACAGTATCGCTATTCCCCTGTGGGCTGGCACGCTGAAACCCTTCTGACAGCAATCAGAGGTACAGCAGCTTCTCTACTAACAGAATTATTAACTTGAATTTCCCTTTTTAGACTCTAGACGGGATCAGATATTGAAAAATGCTCAGAAAGGCATTATACTCACAGGGACAAAACTTGGATGTTACCAAAAAAATGAAAGAAATAAGGAGTTTAGAGTCTGTATGTACATATGCAACCCTAGAGATGAAGCAAAACTAGAATACTGGGTTTAGTGCTCAGGTAAAACACTATGAAGCGAAACACCAAGCAGCAGCCCAAGGTTCTTCCAGCATACCTACATCAAGGACCTTAGCACAGGCTGGTGGAGACACTGCTCTGCTCAGTGCTAGGGGACATCACTTTGACACGGGTAGCATGTGGGTACTACCATTCACATTACACACTATTTATACGTGGACCCAAGACAGTGGTTGCAAAGCCAATATACTCACAACATTTTTCTATTACATTGGCAGATCTCAAAATGCAAAGCTACTATTTGGATCTACTTGGCTAGAGGGTTAGCTGAGGCTCAGCCTCGTTTCCCTGACCCATGTCATGTACATACCCATCAGTAGGGAGCAAAGTACTTCATTATTCATGTTTGAGGACTATGATTAACATTTCATAAAAACAAGTTCTGCAGGTACTACAATAAAGTAAGGGGGTATCGAGGGCTATAAAACACATAAGGCTTCAGAATCCTTGGAAGGGATAATACAGCATGCAGACTTATGTAAGTCATTTTGTACTGCAAGTCAATCCCTTTATTAACAAGGGATTACAACAGCCAAAACATTTGGTATCATTCGTGCACACATAGCCCATGTATTAATTCCTATTTATGGAAAATTCCATTCAGTGATACAGTCCTGCTGTGTACTTCCCCCCCTGTCCTGCCTCCGCAAGCTTTTTGCCTGAAAGAAGGTCAGTCCCTCACATCTAGATTTCTAAAACTCTCCTGAATTACTGAAGAGCAGGGCCCTCCACAAGAGCACGGAGGAACGGGATTCCTGTATTTACCCACAACTCTATGAATCTTTGTCCTCCTTCTGCTAGTTGCCCATATGGCCATGCCAGGGAAGTCGTAAGGTCTGCAAAGTGACTAGTTTAAAACAAATAAATATTCAAATTCTGTAAAATGATCTTCCCTTTACCAGTTCTTTGTCTGTGTGCACTAGTTTAGTTTCTTTGTACTTTATTCCATGCTTGAACCTCTATTTTATAAGAGCAGTCTTTAGAAATACTCACTATACATGCTTACAAGTTCAAGGCCAGGTTGGATGGGGCTTTGAGCAACCCAGTCTACCAGAAGGTGTTCCAGCCCATGGCAAGGAGTTGGAACTAGATGATCTTTAAAGTCTCTTCCAAGTCTAACCATTCTATGATTCTATGTGATTCTATGAAGTAACAAAACCAAAACACAGAATCATTTTAATGGATAAAACTCTTGAGGTGCAGAATAGTTTGAAGAAAAATAGCGTTACTTACATAAGCACAGGAAGTATTGTTTTTGCTAATGGGCAGAACAATTCAGGAGACTTTAAATAAAAATAACAGTTTCAGCTTCTTTCTAAACAAATTCTTTTATAATCTCCTGTCTTGATAAGTGAGCCAAGTTTGTCTTGCTATAAGTTCTACATGCCCTAGCATAAAGCTCGGCAGACATATGTCATCATAATTTAATTTCTTTCCTTATCCTTCTTAATTCTGAAAGTTTAATTTAACATTGACAGAAATGGGCTGGAATAGTTCAAATTAAGTGGCAAACATCCATTATTATGAATGCACACTTTACCAGCCAGTTCCAAATGCTGGAAATAAAAGGAATTTATTCTCCAAAGCATTACCAGTCCTTAGATCAAGATCCTGCAGACAGATCTATTAGCACCTAATTTACATTTTGAGATAGACCATATATGGGACACAGCGCCCCCCCCAAAACCGGGGGTACTTTTAAAGGCCATTCAACACAGCACTGTAGGAATCTTAATTTCATGCAAATAATTAACCTCAGCTTCACTCTCCTAAATAACTTAGGATCCACATTTTCAGTAGCAGTCAGGCAGTTGGACTAGATCGTAGGTCTCTTCCAACTGGAACTATCCTATTCCAACAGCAATGACAAAAGAGTGTGACACTTGTCAGGACACAGATAATTGTGAAACTAAACTAAACATCCTTCCTCAGGGTGATGCACATTCAAGGGGTTACTTACGAACTCCTGCCTTTCAGGTGGGCATCAGAAGTTTCATTGTCTGACAGAAAGAAAAGCTTTGCAGTGAAAGACAAGTAGTGGATGGAGAGATGCCATCAGAGAACTCAGAGGGCTCACCAGGTGCTGCTCACTTTCAGCGCTCTGTTTCCAGACCCCTCCAATACTATCAGAAATTCAAAAGCATTTTCATGTGCAGTCAGCTATGCCATTACCCTCCCGATTTGGTAGAGTCTGCAGTTGTTCTGGGTGACATCTCCCCATCATAATGAAGAAATTGCCCAAATTTAAGTGCCTGACACCTGCACCACAGAATGCTTCTCCCTAAGCAAAGCTTTCATTATTTTGGGTTTGCTCTGAAATTAGAAGTACATTCTTTCAGATAAAACAGTTTACTTCCAGAAAAAGCCTCAAGTGAGTTATTTGATGCTGCCAGTGGAAATACCTTAAAAAGTAAAAGGGTATTATTACAAAAGTAGTATTATCAATAAAAATTGGCTGAGCTATACAACTTCACAGCATAGCTCTGTTCTCACAAGTGTCCTTTTCATCATTCAGAACCACCAACTTCCAAATAATGGTATTAAATTTTCTGCAGGATGGGGGATAAGTGTTATTACTTCTTTTGATTCCTCCCATTCTCACTGAGTCAACACAACTGCAGGAGATGAAGCAGGATTATGTTTTCATTTGAGATTCACTAAAAGAGCTGCAATCAAGCTGCAGCTGCATTGCTAAATTCTGTTTTAATTATAAACAACAACAAAAATCCTAGAAAACAAATGGACTCCCAGACATGCAAGTCACTGGCAAAGTGGGACCTATGGAATCTTTAAGTGGTGATGGTGCCTGAAGACCAGCAAAATAAGTGTTTTCACTTCCAATTCCAAGCCATTTTCTTTGGAAGTTGAGCAGCAGTTTGACTCAGACATCACACAAACGCAGAGCGGCTGTCAAAGGAGAAGTATCCTCTGAAGCGTGTACACAAGAAAGATTAAAAAGCACAAGGTTAACCATGCAAACATGATCCCCTACAGACCATCCTCTCTATTTTGCTTGGGCTTTTTTGTTTGGTTGGTTTTTTTTTTCCGCTTATCCACGTAACATGCAGGAAATGCCAAAAGTACCAAGGTATCGGAAAAAACATCCAAATATTGCAGGGGATGAGGTGGAGAGAAGATGTCTCACAGAAGTAATAATTTAGCTAATAGCAGGAATATATTTATGTGTTTTAAAGATCCAGCTACTGTCTGTAGCTTTCTGACTTCTTACAGTAGTTAATTCCTCCAGCTGATTGCATGCTATGCAAATGACTATTTCCATTTATCCTTTGTCGAGTTACTTGTGTTCATATCTACAAGCAAAACCATCTTCCCTGAATCTGTGGTGGAGAGGGGAGGGACTCATCACTCAGAACGGCAGCACGCTCTGTTCACTTCAGCACACACACAACCCCAACTCGTTGCCAACAGATTGTTCTGCAGTGTATGATTTTGAGAAGACCATCACAGTGTTAGGGAGAAATGGACCCTACTTTGCTCTGGCCTGTTCTAATTTCTGATGACTCACCAGCAAGGTCTAGTCAGCAGGTGATGGGAAAAAAAGTCAGAAACCTTGGCTCCCATTTGATTTTGTGACAGACTTGCCACCCGACACTGAAAAAGTAATTTTCTCTTTTGTTTCCCCTCATCCTTTGTCTGCCAGGTCTGTTTAAGGCTGTTTGCTCTTTGGAACACTGTCCTCTTCTAACTCTTTACTCTGGGAAGCCTACCTGTTTTTTCAATGCACTTGTTATCCCTAACAACCAAGGGCTCCTGAGGGAGAGGGAAAAGGCTTCTCTTATCACTGATAAATGAGTTTAATACTGCCTACTTGAAATTCAAATTATACGCCAATATGTGTACCTGGGAAGGCAATGAGTATTTACAATATTTATGTTGTCATCTGCAAAATCCATTCAATAATTCTCTGCCAAAAAGCACTGGAAGGAGCCATCAGAATAGTAACCTTAATTTTTACAAATATATGTGCCAAGGATACAGCATTGACTCTGCCAAAGTATTTCATATTCCTTGGCTCCAAGACAGACAAGGCTCAAAAATGCACAAGGTCTATCTTGGGAACACAGGGGTCTGGGTTTTCTTTTGCTAAGTCTAGCTCTCTGCTGCTCCTACAAGAGCAAGAAAAGGAGAAAGTATGGTTTTTAACTGAAAGCAGTTGCTTCATCCCATTCCCTCCCTCTCATCTCCCTCAAGCAGCCATGAGCTGTTCCCCCTTCCTGCCCTGCCCACCACCATAAAAGACCCAGGCAGATAAGCTCAACAGCTACTGCCAAGGGGAGAAGACGAAATCTGAACACAAAACTGGGACCAAAGGTTTAAGAACTGTGTTAGAGAGAACAGGAAAGTTTTCATTCTGGGGATGATGAATATTCTCCCTGTTGCTTTATTTATATATTTTTTAAACTCTTATTAAAACAACTGAAAAGTCTGGTTCAGTAAGAACCGAAACTCTTAAAACTTATTTCCCATTCCTGCTTGTATCAAAGGCAGTAATCCCAAATCCTAAAGCAAATAATAAAGGTATAATTTAACCCTCAGTGCTTTAAAATAGTCAATAAACTTCTAAAGAGGGCTTTCAAGACATAAACTCAGCCAATCTCCTGTGTGCAATTGCATTCTCGTGTCAACCACAATTTCAGAGTTGATGTGAATAAAGAAAGGAGGAGTTAGATGGAGTTTAAAATCCTGGGCCACTGTTTGACACAGAAAGTCCATCTAAAACAATTCCAAGCTAACAACAAAAGCAATTTATTTTTAATAGAAAGTTCTGAGTTAAAAAGCAGAACCAGCATGCAAAGGCCTGATAGAGCAGACAACCATTTAGTGCTGTGATTCTAAAGGCGTCATTGAATAAAACACTTTCTAATGTTAATTCCAGCTAATGCTACCAGCAAGCTGCCCGGACAAAAAAAAAAAAAAAAAAAAAAAAAAGAAAAAAAAAGACTGATTTTAAGTTGTATCTGCAGTTGCAACACATGAGACAATATATTTGCAAAGAGGACTGCTTGCCACTTATGAAGAAACTATTTGTCTACTTGCATTAGCAGAACTGGTCTGCATTAATTATTGCAAACACCTGCATCACTAGCTCCAGCTCTAGTGCAAAATAAAGGCATCTCGGCTTTCACTTAGCCAGATTTATCAGCTGTTTTAATGAGAGCAAAATAAAAGAGAGACACAGAGGTTTTCACGTAAGGACACAAAATAGCAGAGCAAAAAAACCATGACTGCTTGTCTTACACAAAAGCTCCCATCACAGCAACTGAAGCAGCACTTGTATACTAGGGGGGGGAATCAGCCCAGATGTAGCTGAGCTTTGCCACCCTCCCACAATATCACGTTAGTAACTATAGGGATTAGGGAGCCAGCTTTGCAAATGACATAAATTGTTCTCTCCTACCCTCTGTGTGGTCACAAAACACTCCCAGGCATCTTTTCCCAACTCCCACAGCACAAGAATGCTGATGCTGCTACTGCTGGGTCTTCATCTATTCATATAAGCATGTCTGCCCACAGCACTTGTTTTGTTCAGCCCCCAAAAGCAGCAAAGGAAAACACTAAAATGTTGAAAATACTATAATAATAGTGAAATAATCTATGGCAACTTAACTTTTCTGCCCATATCAGTTAACCTGAAAAATCAGAAGAGAAACATTACAGACTAAGTGAAAATGGATATACACAGTCCTAATTTCCTCCATTGGGCAGCGACTGCCTGCTGGCTATTTTTAGACACAGTCCCATCCTCCACAACTGCAAGCAAAGAGAACTACAGTGGAGTATATGCTCTCCACTGGTACACTGGAAAAAACCTCACTGAAATATGTCAAAAGGCCTAGCTAGACCACTCCTAAATGCTGATCATAAGGAAGAATAGAAGGAAAAAGTAATGTTCAGTGAAAACTGGTGATGTCTGAAGGTTTTTTTTGAGCTGCTTTAACACTTGCAAGTATATGCAATAAAAAAAGGAAAAAAAACCCCAGTCTTACCTTCTTGAGGTGGATGCGCAGCAGAGGTAACCATAATGTACAGAATTTACAGATTGGAGGAAACCAGTGAAACATCATGATCTTCTGACTTCTCTTCCATGCACACTGACCTTTGAGAAAGGTGAGGTGATTCACTCAGGCAGTCCCAGCTGTAGCCGTACACACAGCAGGAACTTCACGGTGAAAGATGACAGAGCTGGAACATTAGATAGCCCTGCTCCAAGAAACTGTACCCAGATTTGCCAAAAAACTTATGTAAAAACAACATGGCACGAAACTTAGAAATCAGAGGGTCTGTGTCCTTCTACCACCATGTGTATGCCTGTTGTGATTAGTGGCTTCTAGTAAATGAAACTAGGAGAGTTAGGAAATCTTTGGACAGCCAATATGCTGCTTATCTACACTGAACACTTTCACATGAGCCTCATTACCCTTCTTGAAAAAAACAGGTGGGCAAGGTAATGCCCTGTGATTAAGTTCTACTCCCACCTGGGCAGCCAGCTGAGAATTCATACACAGGGAGGCAGCTTTCTCTAGTTTATTCTATGTTTTCAACACTAGACAATTGCTAAATTTTACCTTATTTAAACTCCACACAATGGATGGATCAAAATATGATACTCTATGCACCACAGGAAGGCCACCCAAAAGTGCCCCTCTGCTTTGATCTCAGCAGCTGAGTGGAGAATTAGTTCTAATAAGTTGCAAGTCAGAGTAAGAGCTTATTTCATTAAGAGCTTGCAAGAAACACTTTTTAGTTCTATGAAATTATCATACAGGTTTTTCGACAGTATTTTTTTCTAAAATAATTTTTAAAGTTACATTGTCACCAAATAAACATTAAAATATATCCAGAAAAGGTAACTGATATATGTCGGAATGTAAAATTACTAATTGCTTTCAATTTTGAGTCTTAGATTCCATTCATCCATGCTTTTTTGGAAAAAATAACATTTTGTTATAATGTCCTTGTCCCAGTAGAACACATTTAAAGGCATAGTTCAGCTTTTAATCTAAAATGCTAACAAGATAAGTGACGTTATTGATTTTTGCAACTTTTTGAATTTTGTAAATTTTTGAGGCAGTGTTAATCAAATTCTGTTCCAGTTATTTTTCATATTTATGATTTTTTTTTTCCTAAAGAGAAGATACATTTTTCCCCAACTTGACTATCAAAGTGATTACCTGTTGGACTACAAAACACCAATTCAGGCTTGGTCAATTTGTTATTACTACATAAAAAAGAGATCGCTAAAGGAATGGGATTTTCAGGAAATAGCTACTTATAACCTCCTCAAGCTGCAGGGGTAGAATCCATTTGCTTTGCACTGTTATTTGTTTAACTGAAGTCAAACAGCTGCATTGTGTATTAATCAAAACAGTAAACTTCAAAAGACATGTCCCAAATCCAGGAGCGACTATAATTAAAGTTCCTATGAACATCAATTAACTTTGCAGTCTCCACAGAAGCATGCACAAAACACCACCCCCACTCTTAAAAGGAATCTCCACTGGTAGCTGAGAGCAGAAACGGAAAAGTTATTCTATATTTTCATCCAAGCCCATAAACAACACTAAATTGTTACAACTCGCTCAACAATTCTTTGTAACTAAAAGTAGCTAAAGAAGCTGTTTTTCTCTTGTTATCCTTAAGTCTATCTTACCTCTCCTCTTTCACTCCCAACTTTCTTACCCGGAAGCTACAGTTAATTCTGGAGTTCGATGTTTACAGAGGATAACAAAAAGGAACTTTAAAGCAAGGTACCAAAGCAAATTTCCTTGAAGAAGTAGCATCTCACACTGAGACAAGCTAAACAATTTATTTTCCACAATTGTCTGTTAAAACTTCTTCTGATGACAGACTCTATGGCAGCTCCGGTTTTCGAGACAGATACACTTACCACAAGAGACACGTTTCCTGAGTTAAGATGCAGTGCTGTTATCCCAGGAGTATGGTCCATGTGATCCTGCAAGTAGTCAGATAGGTCCTTTTTTCTGTCTCGATAAGATACTTAGCTGTATACAGATATAAAAACCCCCTTGTTAACTATTAAAATGATGTGTGGAATGATAATTGACAATAAAAATACTAACTTTGTATTAGAAGTATAATAGTATAAATTAGAAGTATAAAAGTATAATGGCCTTTGTATAGAAGGCCAGCTGCAACAGAATCAGCTGCTATTCCTTTTTCTCAGTGAATGCAATAAAAAATGTTCTGAAAAATTTATTTCTCTTAACCCTTAACTCCAAAAAGTAAAACATGGGGAAACAGAAGAGCAAAGGTCAGTTGGAAAAAAGCTCCACTTTGTATCAGGTGGCTAAAAGATACTGTTACAGCCATAGCACCTGAAATCTTTCCCTAATAGACAGAAAATTTTATTGCAACAGAACTAGATTATAGAGCACAGCATTTTTTTTTTCCTGAAATATATCTTAGAAAACTGAATGAAGAAATATTCTTTTGAAATAAACACACTTCCATTTTGCCTCTTGCTATACTAGAGGTAAGCTGTGTTAATAGGAACACTGGCTATTTCTCCCCAGTCATCCCCTCGTCCACCATCTTTGGCCTTGCCTTGCAAATTCCTCATTTAAGGAACACAGTATTTTTCTTTTTTTTTTTCTTTTGTATTTTCTTGCTTTACAGGAAAATGTTTCTTTACATTGTAAAACAGTGCTTTTTGTTCTTTTTGAAATGAGGGAATGAAAGTCACCTGCCGTGGTCCTTACAGCAGTGCCACTCCAGCACACCCACCCACCTTCTGCCCTTTGCTCACTTTTCACCACATGTCTGAGAGAAACTCATAAAACCAGATGCTCTGCAGAAACCGCTTTCATACCAGCACCTCTCTCCTGTGTCATCTTTTCATATATGCAGTGAGGTGCAAATTTCCAAAGAAACCTGTTTTCATGGTGGCTCGATGATGGCACACTGATTTGTGGATCCTCTGATATCTAATAAAACACAACCTGACATTCCCACACACTGAAAAATTAAGCAAACACAAGACCAATCCATCAGAAGTCGATCTTCATTCATTCTGGAACCCAGCCAGCTTTTTTTTTTTTTTTTAACAGAGAATTTCACAATAAAGAATGATGTCAACTTTATTTCTTTTGGAATATTATTTCTAAAGCAACAAACATGTTTTGCCTTTAGAGACAAAAGGAAATGTCCTTGGCCTCAAGCATCTATACACCATGGATGGCTCAAAATCACAATGTAGTTCTCATCTGGTATTTATTTTTCATCATACGGCAAGGGTTAGTTTGATTTTTTTGACACACAGAGGTATTCATTCTATCTCTAAGGATGGAAAAGACATTTCTTTCTAACATAGTGGTACTCACATACAAACAGGAATCTTGAACTCCATAGAGAATCATCAGAGAAATAAAAAAAAAAAAAAAAAGAAAAACGTGATAAATGACATGTATCTTTTCCAGAGAGGAAACAACAACTAAAATGAAATATTCTTTTCCTCCTCACACCCAGTTTTGAAAGCTGCCTACTAGCTAATATAATAATGGATGCCATTTCAGGTCACAACCCCTTCCATTTCATAGAATCATAGAATGGTTCGGGTTGGAAGGGACCCTAAACATCATCTAGTTCCCTGTGCCATGGTCAGGGACACCTTCCAGTAGACCAGGCTGCTCAATGGGATGGGGCATCCACAACTTCCCTGGGCAACCTGCTCCAGTGTCTCATCACCCTCCCACCCTTTCTTACAAACTCTTCTCTTCTGAGACATTCCGGTTCACTAGTGCCATTGAAAGTAGAAAAAACAGTGTAATAGAATTTAATTCTCGTGCTATTCCAGATAACATTGCCAGAGTGATTTTAAATTGCTTTTGAACGAACTAGAAAGTTCAAGTTAATTGAACACAAGGATTCACATAGCAAATTATCTACTAATAATGGTATGGAAGAAAGAAGCCTGATTAGTAAACCCTGCTGGATACTTGCAATGTGAGAAGTTGAGAGATGTCAGAACTAAATCAGAGAGGTGAAGATCAATAGTTCTTTAATCAATGGTGGATTACAGTGGGATTTATTCTGCTGAAACCAGCAGGAGCAGATAAATTCCCCACTGAGATTAATTATTAGGAAGGGTGGATGCAAACAGAGGAGTGCAGTTATCTTTGTGACAACTGTAAGTGGCAAGAGAAAGACCAGTGGGAGCACAGAGCTATTGCCTGAGTCTCTGCTGGTGACCAATGACGCCCTCATCAAATTCTCCGCACCTCTTAGTTCCCTAGAAGAAGCTGCCTTGAAGCCTGTGTATTTCTACAAACACACGTACTGTAAACCAAAAACCAGGGGCAGAATTTCAGGACCAAGTTTTTGGCTTTGTTTTTAAACTGATGGGTTGCTACAGCTTTTGGGTTCATAAAAATTTTGTATTATGGAGACAAAAGCACCAATGTGTACAGCTAAAGAATGACAGCTTTATGCACAAAGATGACGAGCAGCATCAGATTCACACACCTTCTTAAGTCAAGAGGTGGTCAGAGCTGCTCCAGGGCTCTGTCTGTAATCCATCATTACATACACACTTCTCATTTCCATTATAGTCTTCAGTGCCAATGTTACAGTACCCACAAGCTAACCACTTATGTTTCATAAACTACTGCTAAACAGAGACACAAAGCAGGCTAAGCAGAAGAGAGAAATCACAGAGCATCTCTTGTGACAAAACTGATTTAGAATCAAGTCTCAATACATTGAAATTACTGTGACTTTGAACTACATAAGGAATGTACTAACACGAGAAAATCAAACAGAGCTAAAAACATAGCTTGTCATTGCTTAATTTTCTACCAGCTTCAGGGAAAGATATCTTTCTGGTCTTTCCCCCGACATTTTACATTGACTTACCTTATCAGAGGACAGCAAGATGCAGAGGGTCCAGCAGACATTAAATTTGCTGGACATAATCTGATGGATTTCTTTATTCTCTTTGGTTACAATCAGCAACTGTTTGAGAGGTTTCTGTCTTAAACTTCAATCAGATGGCATCAACTTGTCCATTTTATTTCTTGTAGAAAAAATTTCAGAAAATATTTTCAAATCTAATGGCATCCCAGCTATGTTGGTCTATTTTCAATGACTATGAATTCAGGAGCTTTAAAAGAAATTTCTGTGGTTTTATTTTTCTCTAAATTTTATCAGATACCAACAATCATGCCTACATGGCAAATCAGAAAAGGTTCTTTATTGGGAAAAAATTGCAAGTTTAATACAGATACGATATAAATTATAAAAAACGTTGTAAAAATCACCTCTCCAGGATAGCCAAATTAATTGAAGGTGGAGTCTCAGTGAAGCAAATAAAGTCTTTCCCAGATCATCTCTTATTTTAAAGCAGGTCATAAAAATAATCCAGGCCTTGTCCCAGTTCCCAGATGGATATTCCAGTGCCCAATTCTTTTGCAAGATCTAAGCGCAACTGGATGGACTAAGACAAAGACACATAAAGCAATTACCTTTTAGTCAGAGACATTTGACACTCCGTGCTGCCATCTCTTCATCTCACTGTCAGGCTTTTTAAAAACATCTATCCTTGAACCAGATACTGAAAAATTTAGTCTGTATTTCAAATACTCTCTGGTTAGCAAGCAATCATTCAGTAAGAGACAGTTAATTGCAATAGTTAATACAATGACCTAATAAAAGATTACCAGCTAAATAGACAAAATGCCACAGAAATAAATCAGATTTATGAACTATGCAAAGGAGTACTCTAGTATCGGCTATCATTTCACAATGCACAGAAATTCTAACTCTTCCCAGAAACATCTCAGGGGTAAAATAAAACTTTATCACTGAAGACAATTAGAACAACTTGTCAAATACCATCAAGATTTCTTAGCTACCCTTGCCTTCTCCCAGGACAGATCCACAATTTTCATTATCATATTCTATTATAAAGAGATTTTGGGAGATTACTATTTAAAAGTATCCTTATTTGAGCTCCAGCCATTGATTTAATTTTGCCATTGGTTTACAAGGGAAGCAATGCCACAATTCATGCTCTGCACTTCTTTGAGTCAGACAATAAAAATAATTATTTTTCAATCTTTTAGTTTCAGGTTTTCTTACTTTGAAGTGCAGCACTGCAATGTTTAAGCAGCTCACAGGAGGGATGTGTTTAAAACTTATTTCCATAGAAAACAAAACAAAGTATCGAAGCATCCACTAGGCATGGCATTCATGACTGCTTTTCATCATAAACAAATGAATTTTGAGCAACCTGCCAATGATTATAATGTTAAAAAGGGGAAAAAACACATTTGTCATCGGGTAATAAAATTAAGTGCTCCCTGACCAGCTCAATCCCCATGATGTGAACAATTCTTTGATTTGCCCTGGCATACAAATCTCAAAATATTTCATTACTAGCTTGTTGAAATTGGAAAGAAACCTCGTTTCCACAAATTCACCAACCACCACAGTTGAGTATCTGTTAGGATGAATTAATGAAAGAAATGTATAGGAATGAGTGTTCTTAACCTGGTTAGTACTGACAATAGAAGGGTGAAATCCTTCCACAAGGCCAAAGAGAATGTAGTACAACAACATGCAGCACAATTGATCTTTTCTCTAATAGGTTTTCAATGAAACTTGCTAACATTCTAAGACAGGTACTATTAGCAAGAACAGGGTAAGATGTGGTAATTAATATCCCATATGTGCTAGTACTTCAACTAATATTAGAATAATGAAGGGAAAGCCAGCATACTGCCTTTAGCTTAATTTGAGAAAATATACAGAAAGTTTCCAAGGAACTAAGGCTGCAAGTAACCATTTTTTCCTATATTCTGGTATTTTGCAGACTATTGTGTAGACAGAAATTCTATATCCTGCCAAAGGACAAATGCTTAAGTTTTCAAAACACTAAAACGGAACTGAAGAAAACAGGGTGATGCAGGCTGACAGGGAGAATCAGAACCTCATTACAGAGGAAGGCAAAAGTTCCCCAAGCTTCCAGCCAACATGATCAGAAGCAAAATTTCTTCGGTCTCTTGTCTGACAATCAGCATGTCTGTTAGTGCGTGAACTGTGCACTTGAACAGATCTTCTCAGAGCACTGGTTTGCCCTGGTGAGTCTTATCTCTACACATGCCTAATCTTCAAAGATTCCAAGCCCCCAATCTTCTTATACAGGCAGTTGAAGCTTTGAATCATAGCAACTACATCAGGGTAAACTGCTTTGACAAAAGCCTAAACCCAGTTCAAGATTTTCTGAAGTGTCTCAGTAATGCAAGAAGCTGAGTAAACATCTCTTTCCTTTTACAGCCCTCTGACCTGAAAAAGTGGCACCTACCTTCAGTGTTGGGTAGAAGATGGCATGCTTTCCTCCTTTATTTCTGCAAAACAGGAAAATCAAATAGTCACAATAGCTGTGATAGATTCCCATAGGATTTTTAGCTGACATTAGAATTCAAAACCAGTTTTATTCCTTCCCACTTAAAGGAAACAAAGACAGTACTGAAGAAAACAGCCAATTTTATTTTGAAGAACTTACTGCTATTAAAATTAAGACATGCTAGTATGTTCATCACATGGGCATTAATATGCCCGTACAAAAGACAGAGACTACTTTCCATTTAGTGGCTGGTATCTTTCAGATATCAGTGTCTGTTCCACTCCGGAAGCTGAGGCACTCTGTCTCTGAAATCAGATACTTTTGCCATCAACTTCCAGTCATTCCATACTTGCAGTCTGGCTACTCTATCTACTGACAGCAGGGTAGGGCCAAAATCTTCTCTACTTCTCTTCCTTTTCTGCTGAAGGTAAGAACTTCTAGTCCTGCCCCTTTTCTTCTGTAGATACAAACATATCACAGCACATAAATCCAAAGTGGGGGGGAAAGAAAAGCCATTAAGAGAAGGTACACAACATATCTAAAAGTCAAGTATGCAACTGTGGTATCAGTTACAGGAATCTCTGTCAGAAAGGTCCTCCGGACAAAATCATCCAGCTTAAGTGGGCTTTGACAATGTTAGCAGCTCAAAAGTTAGAAAGTTCAAAACATGACCATATAAAGTCAAAGACCTGCTAGAGGAGTCTTTGCATACCAATTGCATCATGCCACAACTACAGCAAAAATCCCTGGTTATCTAAAATGATTCCTTAAAAGGCTTCAGGACGAGGCCTTTGAAAACATCTATAGAACAGAGCACAGTTTCCTAATAACTAACACAACTTCTGGGAAAAAATCAGGTAACTTTTATGATTAAGATGAAAGTTCCAAACTTCTTTGGGCATAACACTGTGTGAACTGGTTACAATGAAATAAAATGCATGCAGGCAGAGTCAGGCAAGATACTTATTTACCCCCTACTAGTGGCCTTTAAGGAGAAAAACTCCTAAAAGAGGTGAAAACGCTGTCAGCAAAGATAGAGGATCCAAGAAGAGATCTCACAAGAGAGATGGTCTGATACTAGATCTAAGTAAACTGAGCTGCCTTGTTGCAACTAGATTATAAAACTGTGATAGTAAAAGGCAGTTGTGCCTACTAAATGCACATCTGAAAAAGATGAAGACATTTAGTTGTCGGATGCAGACTGCGAAAGATTTTCCCCAGTTCCCGAAATTACTATCTTTCAGGTTAAATTAAATGCTAGCAGTATAAAACATACAGACAGAACAAGCTACACTGGGCACAGATAACAAGGCTGCATTTTAAACCACTAATAACGAGAAGGATGAGTTACAAGTGGCCTCACAGCACCACTTAACCAGTTAGGCTAGGAGGAAATGCAGAGCACGTGGACCGACCGAGTAGGCATTGCTCCTAAAATCTCCCAACTGATGTAAATCCATACTTACCTGTGAAGTGCACTGGGACAAGAACTCAGAGACAACAGATTTCTGTAATTATTTGTAATATTTAGTCTCTGCCTGCTACAAAGCTGTGCTTTGCTTAAAGATTCATGATTTGATTTCCTAGCAACTGCAGACATGAAAGATTTCCAGGCGAGATGGGAACCAGTGAACCAGTGAAGCGCATTTCAGGCCTGGCTGCCATCCCCAGCAATGGAACTGAACCTTTGCAAACCAAAGTGAGAACTAAGAAAAGTTCCCTTAAATAACCCTCCCCTGCAGGCAGCGGAACCACTGCAGCCGTGCTGAGCTACACGGCTGCCTGCGAAGCACAGCGCAGCAAGTGAAGTTTGGAGTGATTTTCAGATCCAGTGCACTTTATGAATCAAAAATTCCTCCAGGAAGCCCACAAACAAGAATCTCCAAAGATTGGCTTTCAAAGGCAAATGATGTAGTACTACTGACAAGCTCTCCCTTTCCCACATGTTCGGTTTGCAAGGAGATGTTTAGGAAATATTTTTCTCTTTCAGATCTACTCTTTTGAGAGCAAATTTTCATCCAGTGGTCATTGTGTCTCCAATTGGATTGTGCATTAAAGACCACTAAAACAAAGCTTCTGATTTTGATTTATTCCTTTTTAGCTAACATGAAAAACATTGGAATTGTTTGGCACAAAGTAATGTTGCAACAGAATACCAAAGAATTAAATATGAGGGAACAGAGATCCCAGTCCTTTCATACAAACACAGAAAATAAATTAAAACACTGCCGACCAACAGGTAAATATTTTTTTTTTCTGATAAGAAATACATGTTGCTGAGAAGTCAGAAGAAAATTACAGGCTGAAAAAAACCCTTAAAATTAAACTAAAAATATAAAAGTAGAACAGTAGAACTTTTTTTTTCTTTTTTTTTTCTTTTTTTCTTTTTCTTTTTACATTTAAAAATATTTAAACCAATAAGGTATTTTGGAAATAACAAAGAAGACCTGATTTTTTTTTCTTAAAGCACCCTAGAATGTGATTTACTCATTTTCAGTGATGTGCCGCCTTCACATTACCAATGTACTGAGTAATATACAAGACACAGTTTTATAGAAGTAGCAGGATTTTGTTTGCATATTTTTACCATAGTTTTGTATATTTACATACAAAAATAGCAAATTATCACTGAGGCTTAATAAGACGTTGCTCAGGTTTTTTTTAAAACCTGTTTTAAATGGATTTTTCCTACCTTCAGGACTTCTCTTGTAATTTCATGATGAAAAAGTAAGGACAAAGAAAGTTATTACCCTTTCCCTTCATGCTTTCAGTCCTTTAAAAAACTTTAACTGGAAGTCACTTGATATTATTCTCATTACACTTCTCTTGAGTCCATTCCATTTAGTGGAAGGGTGTTGCTTGTCCAATCTTATCACTAGGACTTGTAAAACCAGGTTCTTGTACCAGAACTATTGTTGGTCAAGTTATTGGTAACCACCTAACAACTCACAGTACTAATCTCAGAACATCTGATTAACATACAGTCAGCAGATAACTTTGATGAATACCTTGTATGGTATTCATGGTATGATAGGACTCATCAGAGTTCTCTTCTAAAGATTTCTTTAGCTTATGTTATTTCATTAAACTTTCTATGATTTACTTTTCTCACCCAAAGCACTCTTTTATACTGCAGTTCAGTGTTGACATACAAATCACAAACAGCAGAATTTCCATTTGCTGAATTCAGTTGCATACTATAGTTAACTATTAATACATTGTGTACTGGACCGTGCCCAAAAATTCATGCAGAATGGTAAGATAATAAATGTAACTCACTTCTTGTATTCAAAGTAGTGTTCAGCAATTTGTTCATCCCAGACAATTTTTGGTTTGTGCTCCTTCAAGGTTTCAATGTACCTACAAATTAAAAACATAGATATGGAATTAACTTTTCTAAAAAAGCAGTTGTAAAATTACATTGCAGAAATTTCTGAAAAAAAGCAGTTTTACCATGTTTAGCTGTTGAATACCATATCAAAAATATCTTCTTGCTGACAACTGATTTCCTCAGCCACTTTAAAATTTGCCATGTTAGCATTTTTAGGCTTTTTTTTTTTTAGGCAATGAATTAATTAACATTCATCAATTGACAAATCCATAAAGGCAGTCTAAAAGTGAAATTTGCAAAGAGCTTGTTCTCAAGAAGAAGTTACTGCTAAATAATTCTGCATATGAATTTTCTCCACCACTAGCTTCTTCACCTTATTCTCTTGCATGGACATTTTGAATGTGGGATAACTTACCTCATACCTACTTGTCACAAAGTGAGGACAGAATACTACTTGTACCCAAAAAACTGTGCAGGGAACTGGTGTGGAATAGTTAATGTGCTGTAAATTCATGTTCTTGGTTAGCTTGCTGTCCTTTCACTGTAGAGACAGTGTCTCCTTGTGTTTGCATTTCTGACTGCACAACAGAAACAAAGCTGCTTTGCTGCCTCATGTAAGGAAGACCAGAAGATGGCAAGATACTGCCAATGACAGAGGCCACATGGGTGTCAGAGAAATAAGAGAAGTCTCTATCACATGTCTCTGTATCTTCTGCATCTTTGGCCAGCAAGAAGGATGAACTTAACTCTGCTGAAAACCTTCCTGGCTAAACATTAGGGGATTTCTCTGGCCACAGGGCAAGCACTATCAGTTTCTTTTGTTTCCTTGGGGATTGATTGAGAATTTGAATTCAAAGTCCCATTATCAGTACTCTATCATGATTATATAAAGCTACCACAAGCACACATATAAGGTAGCATTAAAATTATTTTTCTGTTTTTGCAAAATCTATCAAAACCATCTCTTCCACAACAGGTCTCATTCTCGCAATAAATTCTCTGCTCGTGACAGGATTTGCACGGAGAAATTTGCCTTCAGATTATCTTATTTTTAAATAAGAAATTTCCATCTCCTATGCAAAAGATGTCATAACTGATTTCCATCAGCCACTATCCTGACTCCAACAGCACTGAAATTCCACCTCACAGTATACTTCCAAAAAAAGAGAAAATGTTTGTATTTCTTAGTTTGAAAAGATTTGTTTTCTCCTTTGGTATTAGTCTAAATGCACTTACAACATTCAGCATTGCAGGGAATATCTTCTCTCTTTTGCTGTGCAAAGAGATCTAGTTTTGTATACTTAAAATTTAAGGATAGCTTTTAACACCTTGCCCCATTCCAGAATGGCAACTTCAGTAATGACAGGAGACAAGATTTATGTAGAACAGGGACGAAGATGTTACAGCCCAGAAAACAAGAATTACCAGCCAAGACATCCTGGCACGCAGTTCTGAATATATGATTTTAGATGAAAAATCCTAATTTTGCTTGCTAAAAATCCCAAAACAATTAAAGTGTTCAACATACATATGAACGAGCTTTAAAATTAGAAATGCAACTTGAAGCAATTATTATAGCCTTTTATATATAAGGTATATTATTATTTTAAAGCTGTTCAGGCATGGAGTGTATTTAATGAGAACTCGTCTTCACCAGGCACACAAAATTTATTTCCCTTTCTTCTGCCTCTAGGCATTTATCACCACGGAACATAACAGCAAAAATGAACAACTTTATCTTCAAATCACGTACACAATGGTGAGACTAGTTCCAATCTTGAGTTGGGGGAAAAAAATAAAAAGTGGTCCGAAATTGTCACTACTATCCATTAATTTTGGGGGACTTATTTGAAATGTATTAACTTGGTTTTAACATTGTCTCTATTAAGGACAACAAAAATTCAAACTACAATGTTCAAAACAATAAGCTCCTATTTACTTCAATTGCAACTGCGTACTCAATGCTTCCGAAAATCAAGTTTTATGTTTTTCAACCAGAAAATAAGTTTGCTGTGAAGAGTTTGGAAGAGGTGCAGCAACAAACCAGAGCTGTTTCACACAGGCTTTCTATTGCCCTAATCTGGGATCAATCCATTCCCTTCCTGTAGTCATCTGCCCCAGTCACTATTCATTTTCTTGCAGTAAAACATACAGGGGCTTTACAGGCAACATCTCCCAGATACGCCACATTTCCTATTTTCTCTGAGCTATCTTACTACATGCATCAGAAACAGAAGGGTTCCTGCGTAAAACTGTAGCACCTGTAACACAACAAACTTGTGTTGACTCAACACAATACATTAGCTTGACTCAAACTAATGCTTATCCATTCTTAACATATTATCTCCTAGCCTAGGCAGTACTTAACAAATACTTGATACGCAGTTATTAAAAAAAAATATAAAATTGAGAATTTTTCCGTCACACTGAACCAGACAAGCATGGGATACGAGTATGCCTGGGGTACAAGAGATCTAGATTCATTTCCAGGTTCTCCAAGAGGAAAAGGGATGGGCAGAGAGCTCATCACAGCCAGCCTTCCTTCTTCTTTCCACCTTTCACCTCACTTGCTTCCTTTTGGCTCATGCTTATTTCTATTTTTCTCTCCTCTCTTTCTAATTTATCCCTCTTTCTACTGCCATTGTCCCAGTTCACATCTGCTTTTATACTCCTATCCAGAGTAATTTATTTGCTTCTTCATCTGTCAGCTCCTAACTTACTAGCTTTCTTTTTTTACCAAGCTGCCTCAGCAGCTAAGAGTATGATAAACACTGAAAACTCAGGCCTACAATGTCCACTACCAGTATCTCTGCCTGCTTCTCCCTGGCTGCATGACCAGTGGGTTTTCAGTAGAACATGACCTGTGAAAGCAAAGTTGATACAAAATGCTACCCCGTACCAGTGATCCAGTTGTTGAAGAGCCCTCTCCCTTGGAAGTAGTGGGAATATCCACATCCTTCAAATCTCTTTAAGGCAGACTCTGCTACCGTGGCCCTGCATTTCAGTGTCTATGACATTAATTCTTAAACTACAGGAAGAACAGTCCAAGAAGCAAGGTGGCAGCATTCACCACTATCCTGTGTAGCTCTGCTGCAGATCTTTGAGATCCCAAACATCCTGCTGAATGCATCAAATCAAATGCCTTTGACAATGGTCTTAACGTCAACACAACAAACAAATTCATGGTATTATCTCCTCCACCTGGGACACTGGCATACTCCCACCTATCAGAGCCCTAGGATTGTAATTTTAAGTGCTGCTATGACAAACAAGGACAAAATATCCACTACTTAATTATGCCTATTTCTGTTCACTTCAAAAATACATAGTAAAATGCTTTCAAAATGCAAGAATTCAAATTAAAATAGTAGTAGCTAAGTAATTCCTTACCAAAAAAAAATTGATTCTGTAAGAGTGACTGTGATAAACTATCTCAAAGAAGCTATGAAATTACAGAGTTGTGCAAGTTTTGTGTATCTTACTGCGCTGCTCTAGCTTGCTGATAAATGTTACCTGTGGTCTCCTAAAACTAATTCATTCAAAAACTATTTCAGGTTATGTTCCTAAATGAAAGCATATTGTAGTATTCTCTGACATTTAGAGGCAGCAAAGACCAAAACTCAGCAAATTTTGCTATTACAATTTAGCTTAATCTGCCAAATTCTCATTGCTCAGAAATCTGACTAAAAAAGGAATTCCAGGTTATCACACACATAGTTTTTGAAAATTTTCAGGGTTCTTTTGTTCCAATTTTTACTGAAATTACCTGACATGTCAATTAAATTTTGGTATTGCAACCTAGCTCTCACAAAGCAGAAAAACATTTCAAAGCTATTCCATGTCTTTTAATTATCATCTGTCCTGTCTCAAGTTCAGCCTCTGAAGATCAGAACACCAAACATTTTCTATAAGATAAAAGAAACACAGTTCAAGGATATTTTTTTGGCATGAAGTAGTTACAGATGTGCAGTAAAAAATTTAAATGAACTATCTGCTGCAATAGAGCAGATAGTTTCACCTTCATATGAAAGAAGTCATAAATTCAATCCCTGACTGTGAGGATTATAACTAAAGAAGGTGAGTACACTAAAGGAAAATCTATGGCAGATAAGTAAACTCTACAAACCTTCAGTGTCCTATGAAGTTATGAACTACATACTCTTTTCCATCTTTTGGGGCCAAGTTAAGTGAAGAACGAAGAACATTTCTGCTGACTTTCAAATTCTTTTTTCATACTTGGCAGATGGATTTTTCTCCTCTCAATTGACCATGTTTTAGTCACAGTTATACAGATTTATTCTGGATCTACAGCAATAGAACAAATACAAGTCTTTCAGCTTTGTTTTTTGAAAAGATAGAATGATGACAAATTCACGCAAATGACTATTAATCTCTCATAAATAATGCAAATCTTCAACGGTTAGTACTTTTTTTAACATGCCTTACAATAATCTAGATGGCATATAATTCCTCTGGTTTTGGTATGACTTGAATTGAAGATGGGCTATTAAGTAATAAACTGTATTTTATCCAATGAGAATGGATTTATGCCCTTTCAGGAAACTATCTTCATCAGGGCAGTTGAGTAAATACTTGAGAACGTGGATTTTAAATCTCTTGATATTTAGTTAAACTAATGCATATTCAGGTGCTAGTGTTCAGGTTTAAAGAAACGTCTGCCAATTTTAATAATGAAAAACAGCAGAACATCTGTACCTTTGCTGTAACTGATAAATATTTGTATATTTTTATCTGTTTAGTTTCTGCTGAACAAACATATCTGAGCTGGCTGCTAAAATTTTTAAGGTTAAGACCAGATTTTAAAGCAAAAAACCAATATGCATATATTTATTAAAAATGGCTTCCAAAAGAACTGTGACTTAAATCAAGTGGCAATACTTGAAGTGCAAATCAAGGGATAAAATGATGGCAGCTACATTTTTTTCCCTTTAAATTGACTGGAAATTTCAAAATGGAACACTATTTTACTTCTAACAGTTATGTATATGCATTTTTTTTAACCTTTAAA